TTTTTTTCCTCTCTTTTTATGAATTCCAATGAATGGTTCTTCGTGTAACCTTTTTTCTTGTGGAGACATTTCTTCTGGCGTGTAATACGCAGGAACATTTTAAACTCATTATTACAAAGAAAACATTCTACACGTCTCTGAAAGGTCACTGCTTTGCTAAAAGGTTCATTATGAAGACAGTGAGCAGTTCGAAAAGTAAAACCATCTGTGCAGCTTTCGGCGTAAACACAGGCTTGACTAAAGGCCCACTATTGTTCCTAAGTCGGACATAAAAAAGGGCACAGGCAAAAAAAGAAAAGAAAACTGCTGTACAACAGTTTTTTTATTCCTTCTTCTTTTTGCGTGTATAATTATTGGTTCTGTAGCGTGACTTCTTTTTTCGCCCACCGTGCTTGGACTTTGAGGTCCGCATTATTGTCGCCCGCAGGGCCGAGAAAGCAACACTCGGTCAAGGGCTTCTAGAAGATTCGCGTTTATTCTTGCTCCGGACGTAACTTTGATTATTTATTCCTGCTTTCTTGTTCTCGAAAGTGACAGTTTATTCTCGCCCCGAGCTCTCGACACTCGAACCATCTCTGCCGAATTTTCAAGATAGTGACGCGCGGTAGATAAGGAGCTGCTCGTGACGTCAGTCTCGCTCTCGCTTGCTGTTATGCCGCCAAAGTCCGCTTTTGTGTTGCCTCGACGCTCGTTCTTTGTTTTGTTTGGCACAAGTTCGTCGATTAAACCTTTATTTTCAGTTCACTGTTCATTCTTTCGTCACATTCGTACATAAAATATGTACAAAAAAAATGAACGCCGTTTATAACTCCCTGTAACGCCGAATTAGAGCGCAGCTCTTGAGGAGGAGGAGGGAAGGGTACTGGGGGGGGGGCGGTGGGTCACGTGACTTTGGGGGGTCACGTGACAATGCCGATGACGTCATCAGTGACGTCGCTGATGACGTCATCAGTGACGATCGCGGTGCGGATACCGATGACGTCATCACTGACGTCACTGATGACGTCATCAGTGATGATGACGATGCCGATGCCGGTGACGTCACCACTGACGTCACTGATGACGTCATCAGTGATGATGCCGATGACGATCCGGATGCCGGTGACGTCACCAGTGACGTCACTGATGACGTCATCAGTGGCGATGACGCCAACGGGGGTCACGTGACCTGGGGATACCCTAGTAACCCTTGTGAGGGCAACTCTCGTGACCCTCGTGAGGGTAACTCTCGTGACCCTCATGAGGGTAACTCTCATAACCCTCGTGACCCTCGTGAGGGTAACTCTCATAACCCTTGTGACCCTCGTGAGGGTTACCCTCTTGACCCTCGTGAGGGTAACTCTCGTGACCCTCGTGAGGGTAACTCTCATAACCCTCGTGAGCCTCGTGAGGGTAACTCTCATAACCCTCGTGACCCTCGTGAGGGTAAGTCTCATAACCCTCGGGGCCCTCGTGAGGGTAACCCTCGTGAGATTAACCCTCGTAACCCTCACGAGGGCTACGAGGGTTACTCGCGGTTACGCCGACGGCGACGGCGACGGCGACGCCGACGCCGCTCAAGCCGGGAACGGGCGCCTAAGAGCGGCGCTCTAAAAAAAAAACTTTCATTGCTTTAGAGACGACAGTTGTCCGTTTCTTTTGTTTGTTTTTGTTTGGGCAAAATTTAAAGAAATGTGACGAGCTTTTAACCTTCTCCAGGACTTCCACTCTAAAGCAAGGGGAGTTAAGCCAGACAACAAAGATATCGTGGTTTCGGGTGCAAAAATGGACTTCAAATTGTGTCGAGAACGCTGGCAATTTGCACATCCACGGATTCTCCGTGGATATCCGCGGATATCCGGAGTAAACTGGCGGATTCTGATAAAAATGATTCAGTTTTGGCGGACTACGTGTCGAAAGCGAATGCCATTGCTGCGGATCCGGATGCGGATCTCCGCGGGTCCAGATTGATTTCTGTTTTTCGTCAGAGAGCATGGAAGGCCGCGCTTCAAAAGCATATGTTTGCTTCGCACGCATTATGACAGTAAGCGCGAGCTCGAGGTATTTATGATGTTTCAGGGAAACATCATAAATGCGCATCATAAACATCATAAAAGGGAAACATCATAAATGCGCGATGCATTTATGATGTTTCCCTTTTCTTTCTTTTGAAGATGGATGGTGAACATCAAAATGCTGGGGGCCCTTCTGCCTCTCCTTCAGCTCAAAGCCGTTTTGAAAAGAACGCGGAGAAGTAGCATGTGGAGCCGCGGTTCCACGTCAAATTAATCGGGCCTTTCTGTACACCAAGTCACCAAACAAAGATGGTCGCCGCAAACAATCTTTTTTTTTTTTTTGCTTGCAGTGCAGTGCATCTTTGTCATGCATCTCGTCTCGATGCTGCGAAAATATTTTCCAAAATATTTTGTTTGGAAACTATTTTTTTTTTCTGTTTAATATTGCTTCGGGATTAAAACAGCGCAAAAGACGAAGGATTAAACGAAGGAGTAACAGACGCAGCGCTGACTTTCAACTGAGTTTATTGGTCGCAAAATCGCGCTATACACATGCGTTGTCACGAACAAGAAAGAGAGAAAAGAAACTGAAGGAGAAACTCAGCCCACGTGATACATCACCAACAAAAAAGGCGCACAACACAGCCATACAGAGCACGTGTTAAAAAAAAAATGCAAGTCAAGGAACTATAGTCGGTTGCAAGCTAAGAAAAAACCGGAAATGCCTCTCAGAGGAAAATGTAATCCTACGCCGAGAAACGCCAGCCAATCGTTTTCATGACGTCACGATTCCGTGGACCAATCGCGATCCTTTTGAAGAAAAAAAAAAGCTCAACATGGCTGCTGGCCTTAGCAACGCGACGCTAGTTTCTCGTGACAATTATTCTGCTTTTTTGCACCGTGTTTTACGTGCCCGAGGTTACGCCACGAAATCTTAGTAGTATCGGAAGTTCTAGGCTGTATAAACATACACACAGAACCCAATTATTATTGAAGAATTACCACCCAATTGTTATGCATGCCCGCACCAGTCATGATTGCACCTCTATCCAGGAAAATACCAGAGCGATTGGCTCACACAAGGACAAGTATGGGCGAGAAATGATCGAAGCCTTTCAGATGAAGAATGCTACAGACACTGCTTCAGAACCCTCGCTGTCGTAATCGACAAAATAGCTGGAATTCCTTGGGCTAGAGTTCTCCTAGAAATTGTCACTTTCAATTTTCTTCTTCCCTTTCAAGGAGTTAAATTCAGCTCTCATTATCTTTTTCTAGTATTTCGATTTAGCTTCCATTTCACTGTGGCCAAAGTGATTGTCGTAGTGCGATCAGCAGCATATAAATTTGTCGTTGCTCGTTGAAAGAGCTGTGGGTGTCTGCCCCTCGTCCATTTCAGTGTTTTTATTCTTCCTGTGGGAACTATAGCTTATCCAACGCACTCTGCTACGTCTACTCACGATGGAGTGCTGCAGACGCTACGAACCATCCCAGTCAGTCCAGTGTCACGTGACGTTTGGGAAGGGCTCAGCGACGCGCGGGACGCGTAGTCATCTGATACATTCACAGCTCTCAATTGCTGGGATGTGGCTTTTAGTGTTATCTACGAGCCATATCCCAGCAACGAGCCACATCTTCGGTGTGCATTCAACCTTAAAACGCATTAAAATATTAAGGTGGGCTAGTTGGATATGCATTTTCGAAATAAATAGCGCGAAGGTCAAATACAAACTGACTTTGTACTAGACCTTCGCGCTATTTATTTCGAAAATGCTTAAAATGCAGAGCCTGCAATCTGGAGAAGGCACAGTGGGACCTTCGGAAAGCCACAGATGCAAAGTGAATTGAATATTTTTTTCTTTCTTTTCTTGCATAATGGTATAACAATAAAATTGTGCATTGATTCTTTTTCGCTTGGCTCGATCAAAGGTCTAGGTCGCAAATACTCATGTTTTCGACCTTGCGCCAAGACGTGTGGCGTCGGCTCTAGAATTAAACATTCGCGGGCGCCTAGCTTTTAAACGCGCTGGGCTGCGCGTACGCAGTGTGTACGCCTCCACTAGGCAAATGTGCCTGCTCAAGAATCAGGTGCGTACGCCCTTATGAAAGCTTGTGTTGACGTAACAGCCTTTTGATAAAGTAGCGTCTCATACGGGTGAACACAGCCGACATTAATTGCTGCTATGCGGGCAAAAGTTGAGAGAGGGGAGAATACAAGAGCGCTTGGGGGACGTCAGAACGCCGAGCTCTGGTTGGAATGATGCATTGGCAGACGTAAAGTTAGCTGTCTTTGCCTCCACTGCACTGTTGGAACGCGTTGGAGCGCGAACGCCAAAGACCGGACGCCTGCGTTCCGTGTTCTAACGCGTGCAGTGGAGACAGGAAGCTAAAGCCTTGTGTCCATCCCTCCTACTCATTCGAACCAAAGGTCGGTGTTCTGACGTTTTCTCCTTTTCCTCAGGTAAGGCCAACGTTATTAGATTACCTCAGTAACGGAACTGCTCATAGAGACTGCTTGTACAAACAGCTCCCCCCCCCCCCCTCCTCACGCACCATGACTCGCCATCCGTCGTTCGACGCGCCGGACGGCTGCTAGGGTAACTGCAGTGTATTCTATGGAATACGTATACGTTTCGAAGCACGGCGTCTAGATGGCGTTCCAGCTCTGCTCTACGGTAGCTCTATGGAACACACAGTTATGAAACGAAAATCTAGATGACGCTTCAAACGACGGGAGGCAGACTGAAGTGAGTGAGAAGGGCACTCCCTTCCGCGGGAGTTCCACAACTGAGGTAATCTAGTAACGTCGGTTTATGCCCGCATACTTCCTGCCTAAGAAACGCGAGGCATATTCCCTCGTTATTCCTTCTTCGGCTTTTTTACTGGTTAATGCTACAATCTCATTGGCTGCGAGGGTAATATGCACCGATACTATGCTCGGCTCTCGCCACGGCCTGCGTTTTTTACGCTCTCGTATACGAGCAGAATAGTTCGAGCAGTAGCTGATATATGTGTTGTTACGTAGCGTTGCCTGCTCCGCCTGCTCCCAAGTTCTGCCTGTCGCCATCCGTCGATCTGCCGAAAGAAGAAGGGCCGGACGGTGAGTAAATCTGCGGAATATTTATTATCTACAAAATATTGATTCGGTATTATAGAGATGTTGGTGTGCAAATGCAAAAACCCCATGCAGAAAGAAACTGAGAGAGAGAAATAATGGCGGCGGCTTAGCTCGGCTATGCCAGGATATACGTAGCGTGAGCTTATGCGCACAAAATGAGAGGCGCTATCAAGCGGATCCGGTGCAGCGTCAGACTTGGCTACTGCGCAAAGGAGGCGCACAGCTGGGCACGTGGTGGTGCCAGTGCGTCTGCCGCGACTATGACGTCACTCCTCGGGAATGCGAAGACCGGCGAGGCGCGCGCGGGGGCGGCGGAGCCCGCGGCGGCGGCGGCTCCGGCACGCCAGCTGTGCGCCGTGTGACATCATACTCCCGTATTATGGTAGTGCTTGTACAAATGAAACATTGTATTTAAGTAGGTGCACTCCGTTCTGCTGTAAGCTGACAAGGCACCGAAAGCTGCGACCACACTCGCCATCCCGCTAGCTTAAGGCCTCCTGAAATGATCCCCGGAATTGTGCAGGAAAAGCTAGCGGTGCGCATGCTCACTAGCAGCGTCTACCTCCGGTACGAGATTCGGAGCTAAAGAAGCGATTTAAGAAAGCTCCCTTTTAACTCGGGTGTTTTACTTGTTATTCACAAGAAAAGAAAAACTTGGTTCTAACGTTACAATGTATAGCCCAATACAGAATGCAGGTTTCACGGCTTACCTTGATGTGTTTCCGTAGATTAGGGTTTGTTGTTCTTGCTGATGACAATGTGTTTTTTAACAATCAAAGTATGCAGAGAAACTCTAGGTTTCCGTTCTCCTTAATGCCCTGAATTTTGAACACCTCATTAAGAGATGGAGACGACGGACACTCCATGACCGAAAACTTGACCAGTCAGGGAAAAAGTGGCGGTTACGGGTTATCGATCATTCATCGGTTCTCACGTTTATACCAATATTCGTGGAGATCAGGGGAGGGGAGGGCATAGAGTGCGAGAGAAGCGGTGGCCATCGGTCTCACAAAACAATAGAGGTCACACCACTTTTACGCGTTCTTTCTCTCTCTCTCTCTCTCTCAGCACTCCTTAGACGGCCTCACCCCCCCCCCCCCCCCCCCCCCCCCCTTTATGTTGACAGTTGACTGTAAAGTGTGGAGTGGACTCCATCACCATGCCCAGACAAGTAAACCAAAAGAAGTATCGTCCGTACCCTCGAAGATGAAGCTGTTCCTCGCGCCGGGCGCTTTTTAGTCGTGCTTCAAGAGCGTGCTAGAATACAGTAGCACTCATCAAAGACAAAAATAATTCGATCCCCTCGCGCGAGGCTACATCGTCTGTTACGCGAGTGATGAACCCGCGAATCGATGGGGTACGGACCCGCGTTTGATGTCTGTGCAGGTGGCGGAAGACGTCGAAGAAGTTTGAAAGGGTGAAACGGTGTAAAAGACAAAAACAAATAAACACGAAGAGCTGTTTCCTGCCGGGGAGAAGAAAAACACGATGGAAGGCGACGCAGAGCCTACTCGGCGTTGTCTTACTCGACCTTTGCCTTTCGTATATTTGTACATGCCTTTTCCGCTTTTCTAGTGGTTCTAGTGACCGGTCATACAAAAAATCGTGTTTTTTTTTCGGCTATTCTCCCCTTCCTGATGTTTCTATTTTGTCGAACTAGCTCTCCTTATGCTGCTGAATGTTCTGCTCGTATTGCTGCAGTTACTGTATTATGCTCATAGTCTTTAAAAGGTAACGCGTAATTAAAGTAATCCGGTACCAATATTTTTTAACGAAATTACATTACAAATTACTTCCGAAAAAAAGTAACTTCACAATTACAAAATCACTTAAGAAAGTAACGAATTACAAGTAATCTGTTACTTGTAACAGATTACTTCGTAAGTCTGCAGGTAACCGACGTGATCCACCTCAAGAGAGAGCATGTACTACTCCTCTTCTACTCGTTCAGGCGCGAGGTAGACACTCTAGAAGGCAACAACGTTTACAAAGACGTCTGCAGATCTCTGTAATGCGAAATTACAGCGCAGCTCTTGAGGTATTTTGTGCAAGTTCAGACTCGCTCCAGCATCTGCGCGCTCATTGGCTTCCGCCCCGTGACGCCACCTACCTCTCCCCTTTGTCATACACCACTCTCCTCCTCTCTACGAGGCGAGCTTCCCTTTCCACTGGTTTGTCCAGACACAGACGCCGTTAGCTTTTCCCCGTCATGTGGGTATTGATAACGCATAAAAAACAAAAACAAAAAACAATGCAAATGTACGCAGACGAAAACGCAAATTTCATTGACATCAACGCGCACGCGAATAACAACGCCCCCTTTGAAAACAATTTTGAAACTTGACCAGGTGTCTGGGATCCTTTACAGCAAACGAAACGGATGTGGGAGTCTACTTCATCTACGATGAAAACTTCCATGTGAAATCAAACGATCAAGGGCAGCCTACACCAGTGGAATACCTTCTAACTCTCCTGAATGCAGTAAGATTTACTGTTTTAACAGATTCCGCGTACCATAAAATACTGTAGAGTTTTAGAGCCGTGTCGCGTCTTTAAAAAGAAAACATGGTACTATAGAATGCATTTTGTGCGGTTAGCATTGCTAATGGCATCCCGACCGCTGATCTCTGTTGAAATAGACAGGATCGCAAATCGAGGCTTTTCTTGCTGGGGTCGAACGTCACCACCGGCAGCAATCGTTTGACACCAGCTAATGCATGTGACTTTATATGAGAGAAACGGGAAGAACTGCAATTTTTTACCTAAGTAGGTTCTCAACGACGAAACGTGTATCGTATTTTTCGGGATTGGCAGTCAACATCATGGTCGCAGATATCAAAAGCGTCAGAGCCAATCTTTTCGAAATAAATGTTTGGGATTGAGGGTCGAGGGTTGTGACTTTGTTGGGCGTGAACTGTGATGTGGTTCAATGAGACAAGGGTTGCCGAGAGTCAATGTGGAGTCGTTCGTGTTCTCAAGATTATAAGAGCTTAGCAGACGATAAATTAGAGGGACATCACTAGGGACATTCGCATCATTTCAAGGGCTTGTACAGAGCACTTCTGTTGCGAAGTTTTGCTTTGAACTGCAGTGAGAGCTTCAGTGACGAACGCAAACTCGGAGCGTGTCGTTCATTGGTTGAACGTGTAATTTATTTAGCGACTGAAGGAAGGGACGCCGCCGCAGTCGGTGGTGTTCCGAAACATTTGCTTTTTTAATCGGCGCTTGTACGCTGAATAAAAATGCCGCTGTTACAGCTGATGACGTCCAGAGGCGTCTGGACTTAAAGGTGAAACGAAGTATAGGCGATAAAGTCGCGTTCGTGGTGGGGTGATGTGCACATGAGCCCCTACCAAGGCGGAGGAATGCTTAATCATTTTTGAGCACATTTAAAAATACATTGAAATTAATCGACTTGTTTTAGCGTGATTTTAACTGTTTTTGCACAGGGCATGATACAGCGAATGTCGCGCGATATAAAGACGCCAGCAGCGAGTTTTTGAATAATATGGTTGAACGCAGTGAGTTAGAAAGTGTACTTTGCGCGTTAAGCGGACGCGTTTTGATAAAACCTACGTTTCTTTCAACCTTGCAAGAGGGCACAAGCAGTATGAGGTTGATCACGTGTCTTTTTTGTGATCATGCTCCTAAAAGATTTACGGTTTGTTCCTTTAACGAAACGCCGAAGAAGTTTGTTCGGTATGTAAGGATGTTTAATGAAAATCTTCTAAAGGGATTAGTTTTATTCATGGTTTCAAGTTGGAAGCTACAGATGGTGCGTATTGTAGTGTACTCAGATGACGTGACGTTTTTTTGCGCAGACTCCAAGAGTGTCAGAGCTCACAGAGATGTTTTGCGAAAATACGAGTAGCTCAGTCAACTGGGATAAGTGCTTGGGTCTCTGGCACGGCGATTGGCCATCAACGCCGGCTGTTTTTAAACGTGTTCTATAGAACGGATCGCCGCCCCGTTATGTTGAAGTTCCCCTGGAACACTCCCAACAATGATGACTATTTGCGGGATTGAGTTGAAGTTTTGCGCGCAAAAGCGACAAAACTGGGATGTTATGGGATATATATGCTTGAACGTGCATTGGCTTGCAACGCGTTTTTTGCCGCAAATGTGTGGTATGTTTTAAAGGTGCTTCATTGCTCATGAATTATAATACAAGGTATGCACTGTGTTTTTGCTGTTTTTATTATGTGTTCGGTTTGGGAACGTACGAGTCCTACAAACCTGTTTCGTAGAGTGAAGGTGACAAGTTGCATCACAAAGAAATTAACACGCTCTCCGCATGTTAATTTCTTTGTGCTGCAGCTTGTCAAAAGATGTTTTTTTTTTCAGAGACCAAAGAGAACCATTTTTACAAACCCTTATTCAAGTGAGATTGTGTGGTGTGCTTCCTGGGTTCATTGTTTCATTAGGTGAGGACGTAGGTGCCTTTGTACGCGGGTATATGAAGGATGTTGGAGCTTAATGGTTTTTAGTCACGCGTTCCTCACTTAAAAACTTGCCTTCCGTGTCGAGCAAAGCGACTAACCAAGAAATTAATTGACTTGATTTTTTTCAATTTATTTGTATTGTTTTTTTTTTGTACAGTGCAGGCCCAGGGCATGATATCTTAAATCGAGTCGAGCTAACGGTGGTACCCCCTAACGCGAATACTTTTTGTTTCTTAAGTTGGATTGTTAAACACTCTCAGTTAAAGCCAGGTTAGTTGAAAAAGGTATCCCAGTAGTTTGGTCTGACAACTGCATACTGTGCAGAAAGCGGGAAACGGTTGATCAGGTTTTATGGACTGTTGTGACTCGGTCTTTTTTGGGGACATCCTGCAAGGAACCCTAAAAAAAATTGGCTTACGTTTTTGAGCGGTAGGAGGGAAAAATGGCGTTCCATACGTCATAGTCCTGCTGCTGGACCTGCACAGCACATGTCGTGCCGCATGACCGTACCCCACGCGGATATCGATGTTCGCCCCGTGCATAGGCATTTTGTTGAGCACACGTGCTTTCTGAAAGAGTTCTATAAAGACCAGCAACCTACACCTGAGTGGCTGCCACTTTTTAAGTTGTTGCCTACCTTCAAAGGCTCGTAGAAAGTTCTACATTAGCCGAGATGGCTGGTGTTTTTTAATGTTTCGTCGCCATTGTGTGTCACTGCCTTTCGTCATCGTCCAAATCCGAAGAAATGCCGCGTGCGTGGCAGAGGAAAGGAGTTCGAATCTCGCTCGTCCCGGTGCTTATTTAAAAAAAAAAATGATATACCCTTCTAAGAAATGGGTGATAAGCTGGGCGAATTGGTATTAGTTGAACATGATAATGTAATAGTTTTTGTGTTCGGCTCCTGTTCATGTCCTTGTCTTTTTGTGCGCTATTTGTTATCACGCTTTAGGAAATCCCTGCCTATCTACAGCTGCCACCAAGTGTCCTTATTCAGAACATTCATGAATATGCCGCGTGTATGAGGGTGGCTGTGACGCGCTGCCTCGGGTCAGTCTCTTCCGTCGCCGACGCAAGCTGTGTGGCACCTTTCTCTTTCAGATTGTAGGTGCAAGTTCACCCCATTAAACGTTCATTTCTTGTTCTAAATTCATTCGCTTTTTGTTTAATACCAACCAGGGTTGGGCAGAAATACTCAAATATGCATTTGGAAGTACAAATACTGGGTTATTTTAAAATAGTAGCTAAAATACTGATACTGAAATATATCTGTAAAAATGTATCACGATACGTATCGGAAATACATTTTATATAGAGGCAAAAAGTATTTCGAAATACAAATACAGGAATACATTTTAGGGAGGGCAGAAATACAGATACATAAGTACTGATACTGCAATACATTTTTCAAATTTATCTGAGACCAAATTAGATGAAGCTTGGAGTTGGAAGTGGAAGTTTTTGATCCCGAAATTACTTTCTCGTACGCTTGGTACTTTGCCTTGAAGGTAGTGATTTCGGACGACGAGGAGTCTTCAATGGGCTCTGAAAAACGTTCCATCAAGGACTGACCGTGGTCCCTTCCCTGACATCTTGTCTGTCTGAAGAGGGATGCGAAAAGACTTCGACCTCTAAATAAATTCTCTGCCCTCCTAAATCCCTTCAAAACGTCACCACTACCCTGTCAAATAAGGACGCACCTGTCAACATTTATCACATGACGTCACGGTGAAATGAACTAGAATTTTTTATCTGTAGGTGTGGCCTTGAACATGAAACTTTACCACGCTGCTGTTTGAAAGGACAATACGTACTTTAGTTGTAAGTTACCTCAATGAAGATCGTGCAGGCAGTGTCATCTTGAATTTTTGAGAATGGTGGACCACCTGAAGCATCCTGAAACACATGTCTTATCTTCTGTTACGTTCTGTTACGGTTGAAAAAACGATACGGTGGCATTTTAGTTGTGAAGGTCCTTCCTGCTGACCCTCCGCCACCGACGCATGGATTGCTGTCATCAAGTTTCGCCTTGCATATACTCCAAATAAAGACCTCGTGGACTGCGACCTGATATTGCCGGCAGAGGTGCGAGCTCTCCGAGAAACAGCGCGCTCGAGGCGAGTCGCAGGTGTACGATGTCTGGGTCGGCACAGCAAGGCCACGTCGACCTCCTTCCTGGGTTTCGGATCACCAGAGCGGCGGGTCACTTTCACGTCGGCTGATGGCGTACCCTTGAGCCATGCAATATTACGGGCGCAGCCGCAGACGCATTCGAATATCTGTTGAACTTCACTGCGCGAGTTATTCTACTATTTCAAGTCAACCACCGCCTGGCTCGTGCTGCAGCGGACTGTGACTTAGCTTTGCCGGCTGGGTGTATTTTATACGCTAAGGCAAAAGAGACGGTTAGCAGCGGGCTTTGGATGCACCCAAACAATGACTCCAGAAATTCCTACCTAAGGACCTGCGGCACAAGATGCTCTTACTCCACCCCTGGCACGCCACCTGGTTCGAGTCCCCGACTGCACAACAGTTATCAGAAGAGAGAAGAGGACGCATAGAAAAATAGTTTGGAGAATCGGAAGGAACCTTGGTCAGCATAGTAACAATGCCTCAGCATCTCCTTGACCCTGGTGCCCTCAGAAGTAAAAAAAAAAAAAAAAAAGCGTTCGGATTTTTTTTTTTTGGGGGGGGGGGGGGGGGAAGGGAGGAGTATTTCTCAAGAAATGTAACGAAATACATTTCACATTTCACCCTGATTGTATCGCGATACAAAGGAACATTCAAAATGTATTTTGATACAGAAATCCAGATACTGGTGAAAAAATTGTATCGCGATACAGAAATACTGATACGAAATGTATTCCTGATTTGTATCGCGATACTACCCAACCCTGATACCAAACCTGCACCAGGCGGAAATTGTATGTAAATCAACTTGTAAGAGATAATGCGCCTGGAATACATAAGCTGGCAGTCCATCATTAGATACGTCTTGTAGGGAATCAACTACTAATAATAGCGTATATTTTATGCTTATACTCACTGTCAACACAGTTGTATATGAAAATGCTTAAGTACAGGGTGTCACAAAAAAAAAATTACATGTGTTTTTTTTTACCGCAAAAATAAACTAAGCATCGCCGAACGCTCATTCTCCGCTCAAAGGTAGCACTAGAGGTCACAACCGGATGCCAAAGTTTCAGCCCGATCTGATATTATTTATTCAAAAGTTATAAGTGTTTTTCTAAAAATTTCAATGGGAAAATGGCGGCCGACGGAGTTTTCAAATACATGGGGCTGTATGGCACCAGAAACCGAAAACAGGCAAAAATGTGCTCCATTTTCCCATTGAAATTTTCAGAAAATCAGATATAACTTTTGAATAAGGTATCAGATCGGGCTGAAACTTTGGCATCATGGTTGTAACCTCTAGCGCTACCTTTGGGTGGAGAATGAGCGTTCGGCGATGCCTACTTTATTTTTGCAATAATAATTTTAAAAAACTATTTTTTCTTGTGACACACTGTATATCTTATTTCAAGTCAACGATAAGAACTATAGAAATGTGTGCGATGATTTCTTCGAAATTGTTTAGAAGTTCCGATATTCTTCCTTTGATCACAGTATCGGCGTGAAATGGTAAGAGTTAATGATAACGTTATCGGTATGTTGCAACCGCCAGACACTCATTATCTCATACTTTTCTTATCTTTGAAGTTACATGTTTATGTTTTGTTTTAACTACATGGAACACATCCCGCTTTGGCTGGAATTTGCACACGGCATAAAAGATGAAGATGAATACGCCACCTGGGGCCAGATAAATGAACTGGAGGCGCCTCTCACAAATTTCTGGCCATGCGGAATTTGATTTTGTTTGGACCGTCCTTTAGACAGGAATTAAACGTGATGACACGGAATCCATCTGCTATGTTTCAGGCTCAGTTACGATTCTTAGGCGTTGAACGTATCCGCATTGTTCTGAGTCTCGTCGGTGCCCAAGAGATTCAGGTAAACCATCGACGTCTCAGGAGCTCTATTAAACACGACGCTTTTATGGTTACAATTTGGATTCTTTTGCAGCTTACGAAACAATCCACGGATTACATAAAAACTGGAGGCACACGTGCGCAGCTGAACGCTAAAAGCATACTTGAATACGTCAAAGAGCACTTTGTGAAACATAAAAGTAGCTACCAAGAAGGGGATGTCGTGATATTCATTTCAGGGTAAGTGCAACCGTCTCGTCCGCGTAACTTCGCTATCAATTTCCGCGAAGCAGATGATGAAAGAGAAATCCCGCTTTTATATTTGAAACTACACCGCGACAAAGGAGGTCATTGGTCATTGGGGTTAAGTGCGAATATACACGGGTTAGACTAGTGCAAATAAACGCGTGGAAAGCGAAAAACATATATTCCAACCGAAGCTCGTCGCACGGCTCCTTAGACAGCGTGGTGCAGAGTAAATTCAATTCGTTTGGAAATGAGGAATATCAGAACTCATTGCTTTCTGGTAAGGCAATTTTATTTTCCACAGAATTCAACCAGCCATACATGTTGTGTGTAACTAAAAGGCACAAATTGAAATCCAATTTTTTTTTATTAAAATCCACTATTTTAAGACAGATAATATTCCAATTAGATCTTGCTCGTGTCAAAACGAGCAAAAAAAAAAAAAAGCTGCTTCGGGATTTCAGGATGTTTAATTGAACAAACATAAAAAAAAAAAAAAATCTTACAAAAAAAAAAAAAAAAAGAAAAAAAGAAAAGAAAACGCAGTGCCCCTTTACCTGTAAAGAGGGATAATCAGCGAAACTGTATTGGTATTACTATATCAACAATACACGGTACTCGGGGTCCTGACGGGCGCATCGCATATGCTTGGCGGTGGCGGCCCGCTCTTCGTCGGTCGTTTTCGACGGTCGTTTTCGCTCGACGACGTCGATCGCATTCACGCTTCTGTTGCCACCGACGCTTTAGACGGGCACGCTGTGGTTCTTCGTCGGTCAGACAGGAGCTACTCAGTGGTCCTGACCCGTCGGACGCTGAGCGTTCGGCGGCAGCGGCCTCTCGTCGCTTTCGCGCCCATTCGCGCTTTTGCTTTCGTTGTCGCTCTTTGAGGGCACGTTCTTCGTCCTCAGAGCGAACTGCGCGCGTCCTGCCCATAGCAAGTCAAAATGGTGCAACTACTGATAATGTCGCTAGGGCGATGACTACGTCAGAAGAGAACGAGACACTACGATTGGTGGGTAGACTAGGACACCGCGAATTCTCGATCTGCACGCTCTGTCCGCGCACGCAAACATTTTCAGAGCCTAGCCATAGACACCTTCGCTGTAAAAAGATTATCATACGACATTGTTGAAGTTTTTTCGTTTAGTCGGGAACACTTAAGATGGCAGTTGGTGCCCCACCTCCATCGCAGGATTTTTACCTTTGATGACACTTCGTCACACGTTCAGCCAAAATTCCGGCGGAAGGCAAGAAACGCGTGCTATGGGAAGCATTCAAACAATGTTGTGCTTATATTCATACAGCCTGAAGTTAATCAGCCTTGGTAGGAGTCTTGTGTCTTAGCTGCCGATGAGAAATTCAGCCAGTGTTGTACTACCGCTAGCCTGGGGTCGTTAGCGTGCACCATGCAGTAGTGATGCGCGACTGCACGCCGGCACGATGCTAATTTAGATCAAAACGGGCAGGGGTGGGAATTGAGCCCAGGGAGCTAGTATTAACTTGCGGCTATAGCTATGGGCTTTTTGGTCAAGCGCGTGCTAACAGCGAACGGTTTTCAGATTCTTTTCGGACCACCAGAGCTGCTGTTCAGAACAGACTATAAGTCAGTTGCCTTACCCGGAAATCCTGCTGGTGACGACAACTGAATACAGAAGAATAAGCTGCTTTCGCAAAGCGCTTCACTCTTTCCACTCTGGCAGAGCGAACGCTGGAGAGGAAACAAGTGGATAGGTGGAAATCACCAAGCTTGGACACTATAGATATCTTCGCGGGAGAGGCTTGACCTGCTGGTCTTAGCCTGATATCCTACCAGTGCGGAGCTTCTACACCCCTACTAACCACCGATGGCGGACATCAACATTGATGTCGCATGAACTTAAGTGCATTTGGGTTCACAAAAATATGTATCTGTTTATTTGCAACCTTCAATAAATGTAATTTTTTTTAATGGATAACTTGACCTTTCAACCGCGCCCCTGTAGTAACTATTTAGAACCGAACTGGTTCGTTTGGTTTACGGGTACGGAGGGGTTACAGTTTTAAAAGGGCCACTAAATGAATTTTAGGCTGGGATAATAATTTTAAATTTGGATCTTACTAATTGCGTATCGTTTATTGAGCCAAAAGAAAGTGGGTAGGAAGAGAAAAGCCTGCTTTTCCGTACGAAATTTAGATAATATGGCCAACTATTTTGTACCTCCTTCCCTTCGAAAGCTTTCCACCTTTTCACTGTGATACATCCGCGACACCCAAAGCACATCATCCTACTCCAGCGCACGGATTGGACACGAGCACTGCGTCACTCGGACATATGCGCTAGTCAACAATCAAAATCCGCCAACGAATAGTGCCGTAACGGCAGTTGTCATCGCTTGCGAATGACAAGTTTCCATGGTGTGCTTAAAAAAGGACGGTGAATGCTTGGAGTCATCGTACCGGTGCCCAAACACGTCATTATCGCCTGATCTTTCATTTCACTTTTGAGTTGAGGAGGAAAGCCAAGGAGGAAAGAGTCGAAAAATCATTTCATGGCCCCTTATTTTTTATCAAAACAATATTTGTTTTTTTCTTGGACAAAGCTTGCTGCAGCATGAATGAGTAATCACTGCTAAACCAAAGTACAAATTTAGTAGTTTGACAAAGATAACTTATTTTCCAGCCTCATGTTGCACAGAGTACCGAATGAGCCATACATGTGGACAGGTGAGGAACTGTTTGCCAGAAGTTCTATCATTCAATTGTAATCTGGATCTTACCGTTTCGATACGTGACATCTATCGTATAATGTATTACCTATAGCGTTCTTTGCTTTTCTTTTTGCTTCGCTTTATACTTTGCTTTGTGCTGTTTACTCGGTGGGTCATCCAAAATAACGGTTGTGAGACTTGAGTTCGCGTTTAGTGATATTGTTAACAGATGCGTTCGATGGGCTTGAACTAAACACCGTAAAAAATCAAGCGCGTCGTCTTTCCCGCAAACAACACGAGAAAGCCAATTGTCGTACGCTACGAGGGGAGCTCGACCCATGACTACGCTGAAAATATATTTAGACCTATACTGGTTCTCACCTACAAAAAATAAAAATAAATAAATAAGTTTTCCGCGATGTTTACACACCGCGTCTCCTTCTCACCTACAAAAAAAGGGTTCCCCAACCCTTTTTTTTTGTGTGTTTGTGTTTGCGATCTATCCTAGCTTCTCAAAACGCTCGTGCCTTCGTATTACCTTTGATGAGATGCACTGATCGGCGTGGCAAACATGCGACATATTGATGTCTTGTTTTGCTAAAAGATACAAGAGTTGCAAGAAAGCAACGCAAAGAGACAGAATAAGATGAGTAGTGTGTGATCAGAAAACTAAATTGTACGCAGGTGGCCCTACAATTGGGGGTGCGTGCGGAGATGACAGGGTTGGTCTCATTCACGACGATGGCCAATCATTCAATGGCGTTAATGATCTAGCGCAAAACATAGGGTTTCTGTAAGTAAATATTTGCGCAACGTTTTCGCGGTAATTAAATTGGATTACCTGCTACGTCACATTAATTTGGGCGCATTTTGCGTAGGTGGTAGGCTGTAAACCTGCGGAGGCGATATTGCGAATTATGTACTTGATCCTTTTTTCGACGGCGCGACGCCACTAATATTATTGGCGACGAGGTGTTTTGGTGTCGCACGGGTCCCTACCCGTGACGTCACGATGACTTTTAGTAGCGAGCGTCAAGTTCGATGGTGCGTAAAAAGCACGGTGGATATCGATCACGTTCCTATAAGTCATATCGATCACGTTCCTATAAATTAGCACCGTCGGGGTTGGGAGTTAGACTTTGCTCGTATTCCCGTCGATGGGAGCAGAAATAATCCTACTAAAGACTTCATTGGAAGCCTTTGGCCAATCGTGGAAGGCCGATCACAGCGACGCCTTTGGTCGCGCACGGCGCCAATAGGATGGCACAAGCAGATCCGACGCGGTAAAACAAGGCGGAAAAATTGGCACCTGCACAGACTAACTAAAATTTTCACCGAATGTGCGCTCAGCAGGTGAGTTTTACTGTGTGAAAATTCAAGGCGTCGTCCTCTTTTTGTCAGAAACGATGCCAACGTCAACATCGGGCGCGTTCGCAGACGACCGAGCTACCTACGCTATACTAAAGTGTGGCGCCATCTCCTGATAGACGCAGCGAGCAGATGGCGCACTCTGTTTTCTGCTCGCTGCGCGTATCGGGAGATGGCGCCACAAGTTAATAGAATCGCTAACTTGGTTGTCTGCGAATGCGTTCAATGTTGACTTTTGGCAATTTTGTGGCTTTAATTTTTTACAAAAAAAGAACAACGCCTTAAAATTTCACTCGCTAAAACTGACCCGCTCAGTGCACATTCGGTGGAAGTTAGAGTTTTCTATGTGCAAACGCCGATTTTTTCGGCTCGTTTTACAGCGCCCGATCTGCTTGAGCCACCTTAAATTTTGGATGACGTTCATAATTTTTTCCCACTGCGGCGGCGCGGCCAGTGGAGTGATATGCCTCTCGTTTTTCTCATTAGCTCATTAAGATATAAAAAAAGTTGAAGTGGAAAGGAAGAATGTAAAAACAATCGAAGAAAGAAAGCCTTTATCAGCTTTTTCAAGATGCGATGTCTGCCATTGGTACCCTGTCAGCTTCCAATGTTTCGCCTTTAGTCCTTTTGCATCTTTCAAGAAAAACGTTTCTTCGCCTTGAAAAAAAATATTATTCATTGATTCATCGAGTGCTCGATCGATTGATCTATTAATGTATTGATTGATTGATTTGAACTCTTAAGAATTAGAGGAAGTTGAACCTCTTTGTAAGGCGTATTGTGCCAGTCTTAGCTAGCCAGGGTGTCGAATCGTTTAAAAGAATACCAATGGTTGATGTTTCCTGCGTTCTTCAGGATCCACTCAGTCACTTTTTGGAATGTATCGTGTGAATAGTACCAAAACAATGCCCGTAATAAACTGCGCTGTCTATAAGACATTCAACAAAAACAAGAAGAAAAAAAAAAACTGCAGATATATGTTCGGGTGCTCACACGCATCACCTCGAAACCTCTTAATGTGTGTTCCCTTTTCAAGGCTAGGGGCTACAAGAGATACGTTGTGGAGCGCGAGCCACAGTCAGGCACGCCTCGGTTTTCTCACATCAGCCATTGGTGGAGGCCCAAGATACGGGTTCTCTCCGGAGAGTAAAGAAGCACTGGTGCAGTTCTACGAGAAAAACAAGTAGGTATTGAACGTAACGATACAAATTCTCAGTAAACACTTCACCTTAACGCCATGCCACCTTGGCGTTCAAAAGCAGGTGATATGCTCTTTTCATTTTGCGTGCTTTTTGTGTGCTTCTGTCACGTATTACGGATGAGTTTGAAATCGTTGATGGATGAAATATTTATCTTTGGTAACATTCATGTGATCACTTTGTGTAACACTGCCTTTTTGGAATGACATAAAATGGCCGTAAATAGTATATAAGATAAGGCTCAACGTCAACTTTCGGTATATGTCTAGAAGCGCGAGCATGCAGACAGCTTTGGTAAGTGCCGTCCGCTGCATAGGCCCTCGTGCAGCCGATCGCTCGCTCTAAAACAGGGAGTTTACGGGTGTAACCTTTTCTGAATTCCTATTTCAAACACAAAGGAGTGGAAGGTGTGCTATTGTATTGCACAAGCTAGGTGCCTGTGCTTTATTTGTCAATAGTTTAGTACGTCTATCGTTAAGGTTGATACACCACATGAGAACATTTCAGCGCACTCGCCGTTTCATTGAAAATCTTGGCGCTGAAAAGAAAGAAGTGGACTGCGTATTTGTGATCAGTTTGATATTTTGTTTCTTGGGAAAAAGGGGGGGGGGGGGGGGCGGGAGGGGAGGGGACCGCTCGGTACACTTGTAACTTGAGCGCTCACACCAAAATAATTTATTTGGCTTCCAATACGCGATAGGTTTTGAATTAGAGTGGAACGGTGTTTAAAGACTGTCTAAAAAATTGTGAGAAGGTACCATTCTTAGACCACCTAAGACTGGGTGGAAGAAACACGACGACGTCTCAAATGTTTCTTCCACCCAGTCTCAGGTGGTCTAAAAATGGTAAACTTACACCAGCTCGCCTGCGCCCTAACTGTTTTTTCGTGAGAAGGTAGCGTGATTGGTTCGTGATTATTTTAACAGATGCCCTGTAATTTTTAGTTTTCATCCTCATTCCGAATGTGTACTTTCAAATAAACAAAATAAAAATCAAAAGGAAGAAAAGCAGAAATAAAAATACAGGTTGTTAATAAATATTTTTTAGAGTGTTCTTTGACAGGATTAGAAGGGCAAAGAGCTAGGTTTTTCAGTTGTCCCGGTTCCAACCCCGAGCTTCCTACCAAACTTATACTTTCGTTAACACTTTGGAGTCTTGTGAGCCTCGAGCGTGCGCACTCATCCGAAGCACGACGGAAAGCAAAGAGTTGATGATTGAGGCCTCTGAAAGAAGCGCCCTGCTGTTCTCACCTTGCAAGTGACCATAGCATGCATATACTAATGATGTAACATCTTCCTCGCATTGCACGCCCCTTCTCTATGCTGATGTCTTTACCACTACTCAGCCAGTCCACTAACCCTTCCAGTACCAACAGCTCCACGATTACCTGAACGCTGTCTACGCCTGGTCTGTGGAAAACTAGCTGCCTCTAAATTGCAGCAAGCGCACATCAACCCTAAATACTACCCCCCAAACCGTGTAACTGGTCAGCACAGCCGCGAACTGAACGGCCCAGTGCTACCTGCTACCAATCCTGCAAGGCTCCTTGGAGTGACAATATACCCTAAATTAAACTTTTCATCTCAGATTCATAAGGTGACATCCAGGGCCCGGCGGATGCTTGGTTTTGTGCTTCGGGTCAACCGGGGAGCTGGCGCTACTGCTCTGCGGCTCCTATACATTGCCGTAGTCCTCCCATACCTGGAATATTGTGCTGCGGTTCGGGACCCCTACCAATTCGTTTTCAGCATTCCTTGGAAGTTTGCAGTGGCGCGCTGCTTACGTGATCCTAAGGCCTCCCCTGGCCTCCCCTGGCCTACATCTCACCATTGAGAATGGTGAGATGTACCTCTCTGAAACATCGTCGACAAGTGACATTTCTCCGGCTTTTAGCAAACTGCCTCCTTCCGAGGGACTCCGACGTCCCACTACTGCAGCTTCTTCGCCATAACAGGTCCGGTGGACTACAGCCACTATTCGAGCGTACCGAGCGGCACAGGAACTCTTTCCCAACTAGAACTGTGGCGTCCTGGCGCTCACTACCGAAGGACATGAAGGAGTGCCCGCCCCTAGTGCAGGAAAACCTGAAGGCTTGGTGCAAGAAGACATCGGGCTTCCTCCAAGGACAATGAACCCCATCTCCATTTTTCTACCCTCTTTCCCCTCCAGGTTTTGTATATATTGCCCTTCTTTTTTTTTACGTTTAGAAGCTGTATATGTTTTGTAGTAGTGCGCAACAACAGGCGTCATGTACGTGCCAACGGCCGTTCTGTGGTGCTCAACCCTCCAGGGTTCAATAGAGATTATTAATGTTTTATGAAAATGCCTTCAGTACATTAGTTCAGTTGGGAGAAAGCTACCTCCAACATTCACACTCTATGCCACAGATAAAGCGAATTCGGATGGTAAATTGTTACGGGCCTCGACGAATGTCCCTTTCGCAGTTTTCTAGACGTTACCGAAAAGAAAGTAATAGAACACGAAACTCGCTACTTGCAAAATAAAGGAACGCGTTGCCAATCTAGGTTACCTCAAAATAAAAAGAACGCGTCACCGTTACCATTAATTATCAAAAGTAACGCACGTTACGTCTGCTTCACTTTTATATATAAATTGACGGCAACAGCGTTTTTCTTTTTTTTGGTGACAACGTTTTTTGACATTAGGACAGAGGGCGTGGGCATTGAAGTTTTTGCTAATGTGGGACCTTTTGCGTGGGAAAAAGAATTTCAAAAGTTCTGAGGTATGGGGGATGCGTGCAATAATTATTGACTTGACGCCTACACTTTGTTCCAGCCTACGTCCAGACGCTGTCGAGGCTACAAGCTAAAGGAACCAATAGAGCAGCGCGAAAAGCGCAACTCACTGTATTTTTTTTTCTTTACGATTGGTTCAGCGATAATAAAACACGTAAGACAACATGGCGAACATCACAATGGTGCCCTTTTGACGCTCTGCGATTCGTCCCACCAGCTGGTAGCGTCGGCCGCGTCTGGGGTTAAAGTAAAACGAAATATAGAAACACACACACAAAAAAAAAAAAAAAAAAAAAGTAAGTGTACTTAGTTTTAGGTCGGGAGGAAGAACTAGCAAGTAACGTTGCTACGTTACCCGTTACTCGAAATAAGTAACGTAAATACGTTACTCGTTACTGTTTTTAAAATGTAGCGACTACGTTACTGCGTTACCGAAACAAGTAGCGTGTTACCGGTAACGCCGTCACTGCTAACACTGCTCTTTTGTACCACCAAATTATCCCATTTCTAATACAAAGTTTCTTGCCTAATACTGTACTGTACTCAACAAATGTTGGTAGCCATAGTTGTTTTACAAGGTGCTGTTCGAATTCCGAGTCTTTTACTAAGTGCTCCGTATCACAAACGTCTACATTGCGAATAAGGGCGTCAGAGCTTATCCCAGCAGAATGTTTTTATTTGTGCGAAAGCTCGCGCATAGAAGACACTAGAATAAGGAAACACTAGTTACACTGTAGAGTATCGGCACATCCCGGATATGCTGAAAGGCGCCGCCATTTTGATGCTTTGTGCAGAGCGGGTGTAATTATGGGATTGTTACAATTTTCTCAAATGCGGCTTCCTGAGTTTTGGATGTGGTGTCAAGAAGCTCACGCAATATCGTTTTGTTTCATGACTAATTTTTTTAAAACATATTTGGGGGATTAACAAAGAGTTTCTCGCAATTTCTGTGCAACTTAAGATAACTGGCAACAGCGATTTTAAGCAAGACGGCTGAAATGTAAATAGTACATAAAGAGTAGCCTTTTTAGTAGCTTCAGAGGGCACTTTCTAAAGCCACGCATTCGCGTTCATGCCTTTGTCAGCAGTGCAGTTGTTTGTGCGATGAAGTAGTATATGCCTGTAAACCAAAAGGTGTCAACGTTTTCTGTTGAAGAGACACGAGTTGTTGGAAGGAGCCGCCGGCAAATCGATTAACACAAAATAATACCGAAGTCCTCCTACCAGTGAACATCTTCACTAAATACAGCCTCGCCTACCTTCATACCTGTTACATTGCGTACAAGATGCATCCCTGCACGGTAGGTATTAAAGTGCCCAAATCGTATGCATAGAATGTACATAAAACTAGACATATCTGGAAATGCATATTCATTCTTGTTTGTCTCCTATGAACGTCGCTGAGGGGCGCTCCTATTTTTTGGTTAGTGGTATATTAATCGCGCTAATTTGCAACTCCACGTTTGTCACCTTTGTACAATTCCACAAGTCAAATCAACATTAATGTATTTCGGGTCAAGTTGTACCGAAGTTATTGATTTGTTGACTACCCATAATGATTCTTAGATGAACCGTTAGCAAAACCTTGACTGTTCGTGAATAAAAAAAACAAAACATCCCAGCTGATTTAAATTGACTTAAAAAGTAAACACGGTAAAGACCTGGATCAACACGCCAGGTGCTGGATATCAATAATAATAACAATAATAATAATAGTAATAATAGCTAATATTTTTGGCAGGGTTCGTAAGTTAGTGATGTTGAAATGCCTGTTATGTGGTACCTCCCTCGGGTGGTGCCTGGCGTGGTGCTACAACAAAAAAGGACACCCCGGGTATTTTCTAAGTTGTGTGACATAACATAAGCCACCCATTAGAAGATAAAAAACCGCCTAGCATAAGGCTTAGCCGGTGGCAACCCTGCTAAAGTTGGGGACAACTTTTCTGGCATGTCTGAAGTAGACCCCGCGAGCACCGGTGTGATCGGCGCTCAATGTTCGAGAGTGGACTGGTACCCATAACTTTGGCTTCATTGCAAAGAAGAGTTGTGCCTGTAAAAAAAGCGGTACTCGTCGTTTGTTTTGTGCATAAAACAAATAAAAAAAAGAGAATGTCAAGTTGGGCTAGTTGGTTAAAGGACAAATAGTCGTTGGTGGTTTAGAGAGCAGGAGATTAGTCTCCCAGAGCATGGCAGTACAGCCGCTAGCCTGGGGTCCTTAACGTGCACCACGCAGTAGTGATACGCGACCGCACGCCGGTACGATGCTCATATAGATGGAAACGGGCAGGGTTTAGCACGGTATGCACAGTACGCATTTTTTTTTTCTGGGAGGTAAGCGACGGAAAAGCTTATAGGAATAAGGAGATATCCAGGGGTTTCACAAGAGCCTCCGCGTTACAGAAAGGGTTATGTTTCTTATTACCATCCAACGCGGTGCTTACAGAGAATATTTACAACGCAGCTGTGTGCCCGTTTGTCAAAATATATTTAAATACAAATCTCATATTTATCTCCATAAGAAACGGCGTAAAGGGTATGCAAACTAGCGCCGCGGTCCGTGAACGGCCCACCGCTCCGTCAAAAAAGATGGACTCCCTTTCGGTTTTTGTATTTGACACGACAGCGGTCCATGTCACGGTGAGTCGGAGAGGGGGAAGCGATGTGCCTGACCCACTCCCACCAATGGATATGTCTCTGTCCATGTGATGGGTGCATTTCGCTGCTTCCGGGAATCGGGCGACGCTGCGATGCTCGACTCCATGCAAGCCTTGCGGAAGCCTTGACCTCCTCTCCACCCCGCTCGTGAACGTGATTGGTGGCGTCCAGTTCTTTCGTCGCTGATTACATCATGGGGCGGGACGCCGTAGCTTGACGGAACGTGTCGTGGCGAGGAATGGAGTCTCCCCGGCTTTGCCGTGAACTTCCTCCTGCTCGCCACGGCCATGCCGCCAGATTGCATATTCCTTTACCCGTCGTTTACCGAAATTTGGAGCTCACAAAACAAGGGTGGAGCGATAGGCGGGACGCTGAAAAACTGCCAATACATCACTCATACAGCGATATCTCTAACGGATGGCCGCATTTTGGGAAAAGAAGTGCGCGGTTGAACACGACCGACGTGGCCGACGAGGCATCTGACGTCATGATTCTCATTCCCTTTCTTCGCTTTGTCCGCTTGAGGTGGTGAATCAAAGCGAGGAGGAGAGATGCGAGGCCGCTTCCCTTCATTCTCAACTGTTCCACGAGGATCGTGACGTCAGAGTCTTTGCTTCATCGCGCCCTTCGTTTCCAAAAAATACGGCCATCCGTTTGAGATATAAATGTATCAGCCATGTTTTGGAGTTCGTAGCGTCTTGTTAAGCGCTTCTACGGCCTTAATTCGCGAACTCTCAATTTCGGTTTAGCAACCATGAAAACAAGCTCAATACGAAGTGCATGCGATTTACAAGAAAAAAAACAAAAAAAAAACTAAAACAACTAACCAAGCAGAAAGGTTATCAGAGATCTTTGAACTTGATTACGATATTAATATGATATCCAACTGCATTGCTCGGGCCTTGCTCACTTTTTTTTTTTATATTTCAGAAGCAGGAGAATAGCAGAACTGGAACCGTTCCATGTTATTCCTTTTGCTGCGGACGAAATGCCAAATTATATAGTAGACAACCTCGAACGGCTGACTACGACGGCACTCCCTGCAATAACAATGGGGTGAGTTGAATCATCTTGTTTTTATTATGCAAAATGCACACGTACATTGGTCGACATTGTATTAGGACCACAAATATTCTCCAGAAGATTTTTTTTTTCAGGGGGGGGGGGGGGGGGGGGAGGGCTGGGTTGCAGCTTTGTGTTAGTTACTATTGCGGACGTGTAATCATGATTTGAGTTTAACTAGAAAGAAAAATCGCGATATCTAGAATTTGTGTTGTGTTTTAAAAATAACCGAACAAATTTGTTGTCGTTTGTTGAAAGGCAGCATAAGTTTTTTTGGGGATAATTTTAGTAAAGAACGATTTCTGTCTGAAGCCTAAATTTAGACGCCAATTAAAATAAAATAAAAAAAAACAACTGGGAAACTAGGTCGGAAAAAACTAGCTTTGCAAACTGACGTGGATTTAAAATCGAATGTTCAGTGAAAGCTGATCCTAATAATTGTGAGATTATGTGCTTGTATTGTTCGTTTATTTATTTGGTTTTTGGCGCAGATTTGTGTTTCAGGAAAATGCGTGATACTACCGACTAGTGACATGGCTGCAGGACAATAAAATGTGAAGGGGAAATATACGGACTCATAAACCAGTGTGAAACCGCTCTCGAATGCCAGCACCGCATTCAATCGCTGAATAATAAGAACGAACTGACACGATGCCCTGGTGATATTTTTCACGTAACGCTGTTGACCAAAGCTCACCTCCTCTCAAGATAGAGAGTGTTTAGAAAATAAAACAAATAAAAATCAAACATTACTTGATTATTTACAACAGGCGATGAACACTTTCCACTAAATTACATACCAACTTTATTCATGTGTATCTTTGCGAAATGTTTCGAGCAGATATCCTAGATTCTGGTATCATTGACTTTCTTCAAGCCGATTTATTTTTCACCTCACGTCAGCACTGTTGGTGTAAAACTTAATCGTGTGAGGTGCAACTTATTTTATTTTCACAAGAACTCTCTTCTGCTTTAGACGATGGTTTTAATATCGACTGCATATTTCTTGATTTTTCGAAAACTTTCGATCTTGTTTCTCCTCAGCTACTTTGCCTAAAGTTAAGCAAATTAAACACTGACCGGATCATCAATGGGAGGATCGAGCATTTTTTATCGGACAGAAGCAAATTTGTAGCAGCCAACGACTTCGAATCCTCACCTTGTCTGGTTAACCTTGGCGTGCGGCAAGGCTCTCTTCTTAGTGCCCTGCAATTTCTCATAAAGAAATAATCTATCAAACTCCATTACTTCATGAAATAAATTGTTTTCCTACGATGGTGTAATTTTTTATGTTATCTCCTCTAGTGCGGCTACCTCCTTATTTCAATCTGACCTACACAATATTTACAATTGGTGTAGCTCATGGAGAATGCGTCTTAATAATAACAAGTGGGAATTAATGTGAATTTTGCAGAATCCAGTGATTGGTAGCATTTGCACCTACCGCCCGCAGGGTCTGCTCTAAAGGAGGAAACAGCCCATACACACCTAGGCATTCAATTAACCGCCAACCTTTTCATTTTCTTGCAAAACATCACAGTGCGCCAATGCAGTAATACTGAAGTGTCAGTGCTAAACATTTCGTATATTTCTTTCAACTGTGGTACCGCCTAAAGAGGAAACTGTTTAGATCATTCGTTTGGGAAAATATTTTAATTATAAATACTGCCAAAATGCACCATTCGTAAAACAACAACAACAACAACACAAATTTGGGTTAAGTTTGGCGTGTTATGGGCAACGTTGTTACAACGCATCTTGGGTCGCGGCAGAATTATGCATCTAAGTTACACTGTGTTTCCCACTGAAACTAGGGCTGCTCCGCAAAGGTTTGAAGATCCTTCGTTAGCGTCTAACACATATTAAAACGAAGACGAAGAAAACCGAAGGCTACTACGGGCACTTCTTTCTCAAAGACAAAACCCCCGATGTGGTCGGCTAGAAAAGCAAGTGTGGCGACCGCGTGGGCAAGAACGGTCCCGCGGTTCTAGCGTATAGAAAGCAGTGCCTAACGGTCTATTCACACGATGCATCTTGTTGGCGAATCTTGTGTCACAAAATTAGGTTTCGGGAAACAAATGAACCGTGTAATGAAACCCCCCCCCCCCCCCCCCCCCCCCCCCTCACTCAGCACTATAGTCGCTTCCCGTCGCTCAACGCCCCGGACGCCTGCTATGGTAACTGCAGTGTATTCTATCCTAGAACGGACTAGCGGTAGCGCTTTGTCCGCTCTGCCGGCGTTCGGAGAAATACCGTAGAGGCCAGCACCGTCGTGCGTATGGAACTACCCCTACGAAAGTGGCCGCCGCAGAACGTGGTGTGTTGTCGCCTTTCCGTACTGTGAAGCGAGGGTAATGCATTAGGGGAGCAACGGTCATTGTCTCGTCGGTTTCGGATGCGCCGGACTCACCGGAGTTCTGCTGGTTGTACACGTGACGGCGGTGACGGCAGGGCGGAGACGGGTCGGCTGGGTCGGCAGTGTCGGTCCGCTAGTTCTGGTTTGTGTGAAGAAAGTCGCAGTGGCGCGTCTGGTCACAACCGCGACGATATTTCAATTACAATATTCACTGAAATATCGTCAATGGAATAATAAAATAAGCATCAGTGACGATATTCAAATTATACCTGTCAAATATGTTCTGGACTTTTTAGCACCTCTATTATCCCACATTTACGATGTTGCAATTTTTCAGGGTACTTTTCGGCTTCAAATGCAAATTGCCAAGGTGGCGGTTATTTCTAAATGTGGCGACGAGAATGATCAATCCAATTACAGGCTTACCTCCATTTTACCCGTTATCTTTAAGTCGCTGGGAAAACTCACCCACACCAGAATTTCTTCGTTTTGCAACCAATTCTCTCTTCTGACCCCCTCGCAGTATAGCTTTCGAAGGGGGCGTTGGACTGGACTCGCTTTCTTAACACAGAAAGAAATAATTTTGAAGTCATTTGAAGAAAAGTGTGCCACTCTCTGTATATTTGTGGACTTTTCAGAGGCGTTTGACCGCATCAATTATATCACTCTACTTAAAAAGCTTGAGTTTTACGGCTTTCGTGGGGTAATTCTTGACGTTGTGGCTTCATACTTAAAATTTCGTACACAGTGTGCTGTCATCAACAGTCAGCGTTCAGGTTAACAATCATTAACTTCCGGTGTTCCTCAGGGAAGTATACTGGGTCCTCTACTTTATATATATATATATATATATATATACATATATAACTGAGAAGAAAAAACCCTTAGTGAAAACAGCAACAACGGACGATTTAATCTTCGACGTTTCGGCCGGAGTCCGGCCTTCGCCACTGATATATATATATATATATATATATATATATATATATATATATATATATATATATATATATATATATATATATATATATATATATATATATATATATATATATATATATATATATATATATATATATATATATCAGTGGTATTGTCAAAATTAGTACGGAGGCAACTTTTGTTATATATGCCGATGACACTAGTTTATATTTTCTGCGCAAGATCAGAAAAAGCTCGCGTAAGTCGCAAATTGTACCCTTGACTCGCTTCACAGATGGAGCTCTGTAAATATACTCCCTATTAACACTTCCAAAACTAAGGCAGTGCTCTTTAAACCCAGGAATAAGTCTATGGTTTTCGACTACAACCTTGTTATTGGGCCCTCCATCTTTGCGATAGTACCTAGTACTAAAACCCTAGGCGTAATTTTTCAGGAGTGTCATTGGATTTTCACATTGAAAGTCTCATTCGCAGGATTTCGAAAGCCATTGGCATTAACAGGCTTCGCTTCGACCTTCCAGCAAAAATTAAACTCCCCTTATACTACTATTCATTTTATTGACTTCTAAATTATTCTCATCTGGTTTGGGGAACCATTAACAAACATAAACCATCTTCATGTCTCTCAGAAAAAGGTCATACGGAGTATCGTCAATGCCCCATATGATTCTCATACACAGTCCCTTTATTAAGACTCTGTATATCATTCCAGTTATTAACCTGTGTGACTACACAGTAATTTTAAGATACTCAGCGAGAATTAAACTGAACTCCTTTATTTGAAGAAATTGCTGGTCAAGCACGAAGTATACATTTTTATCCTACTCCTACTGAGAATGTCTGGAAGGTACCATACAACAGAACAACTATGAAACGCAGATGTTGATGTACCGCCTCCCATCATAATTGAACAATCTAAAGAGCAACAACTTCACAATAGAAACACTAACACCTCGTGCCATCAAAAATATATTTCTGTAGATCACTTCTTTTTGTCTAATGCCTTATGATATCAGTGTTCTATTTCCTGGTTACAGGTGTCTACATTCTTTTCTCACTCGTCTTCCTGTTGCATGATTATCGAATTTGTTTACATTTTGTGACAATTCGCTTATCCTCCTCTGCCAATGAAACGGTGGTGGGTCCCAGTCAAGCCAATGTGTTGGCTTTTTGCCCCTGCCCCTGTCGTCCATTCATATATACGAAAAATAAACTGATTCTTATTCTGGTTAAAGGTTGTCGTCGACGCCCAGCCCTAGTTCTTATGGCTCAGGCAAGACGGATTTATACCAGTGTTGTTTAACCAGTTGACATGTTTACAAAATATGGCATCAAATTAACGTTTGCGAAACTAAATACCATTTACCTTTTCTTTGCGAATATAAAACACCGCGCGATCACTACAGAGAACTATATGCGTAAGATTAATACTCTTCGTACTCTGCGTATCGGAATTTCCCTCGCGCACTCTTTTGCAATGCGGATGCAAGCTTTTCTGAGGTAGTGCTCCGCCCGCCCGCCTTCGGGTCCTAGTCCACCATAGGGCCCCGACGGAGTATAGGAAGGGAGGGGGACTTTTAGTATTTGCTAAAAATATCAGCTGTGTTGCTGCAATTTAGTATTACAGTCCTTGTCCTTACTATCTAAAACAGCTGATATGCGACCGTGCTACTGAATAAGTTTATAACGTTTAATTATCTGCATTTCCGGTATTTTTACATTTACATTTTGGAAACACCTTCGTTGACTAATTCACCCTTCAAGTGTTTAAAAGGAAGTTATGCCTGTATACTTTTTTTTTTTGTGGAATTGCGCAACTGGTCGTATAACCCCAGGTATAAATATACCGAAAAGCTAGTGCAGCAACAAAGGCCAACACACCTCTTATTTTTTACGATTATAATTTTTTGTTCAATAATATGAACCAGCACACCGAGATAGCCAGGAATCATGAAACTAAACACGGACTGTGGACCAGTCATTGCAGTTCTTCAAAATAATTTATTCGGCTCAATCAAGTTTCGGAATGCCAGCGTTGACGAACGACTCTATATCGCACTCGTTGACGCCTCGGAGCATCTTGAAGTAACCTTAAAATTGACAAAAAGTTAGAAAAAACTAAATTAGTATAGCATCTTACTTGCATCAATTAAAGCGCCATGTCAAAAGTTTACGGTTTTTTCTTTTAATTCGAAAATGTTAGACTACGATCTGAGATAATATGGTGCAAATGTACATGACAAGTTATAATGAACATGACTGTAAACCTGAGACTGGGGCAGAAAAGAGAACACAACAGAAGGTAGAAAAAGATTGAGACGTTGCCTCTTCTTGTTCTACCTTCTGTTGTTTTCTCTTTTCTGCCCCAGTCTCAGGTCTACAATCATGTTCAACTTACACCAGCTCGCCTGCACTCTGACTATTTATTTAAGTAATAATGGTCGACGACAAGATCAAACTGTGATAAAAGGTTCAGCTTTGGTTAAACGGTTTTCCGAGTTCACAGGGATAACATACTCACCTCAGAAATACTACACTCTCAAGAAAAAAGGGTGTCAAAAGGTGTATTCTTACACCCATATAATACACCCCAGAATTTCAATACGACGTACAGTGCCCTACAGTCGAACATTAGGCCCGAAACTTTACGAGGGGCTTGATAACGGTGCGATATAACTTTTTAAATAGCTAAAGTACATACCAAAGACCACATAATGAAAACACCGAGTTTTTACAGTAGGGCCAAGAAATTCCCGATTATTTTTTTCGTGTTCCGTAAAACCTACATTAGCTATTTTAATAAGTTGTACCACACGGCTATCAAGCCCCTCGTAAAGTTTGGGGACGTCTGTTCGACTGTAGGGCGGTGTATGTCGAATTGAAGTTGGGGGGTGTATTATATGGGACAAGGGGTGTAAGAATACACCTTTTGACACCCTTTTTTCTTGAGAGTGTACGTTCATCTGAACTTTACGCGGAAATCTTTTGTTAAGAATATGGGAAATTGAAGACCTTCATAACTGAGAAAACGTAACTAAAATGTCATTGCATAGACGTTGGGAGAGGTGCACCTGTCAAACAGACATTCAAGCAAACGAGGTCACGATAGACCCTTTTCAAAAGTGCGCGCCACCTAGTAACTGCTGCACCAATTATCCGAGACCGCCATTATCTGGTCACGTGCTCTGAGATAGGCCTAGGATACGAGGGTTGCAGCGTCGTTCGGAGTGAACTCGGCTCAACTCGTACACACACAAAAAAAAAGTGCTGTGTCAGTGTTTGGTGAAAACTCGGATCCAATCACAAGCTTCTTGCACAAGAAATGGCGCCCACCAGTGTTGCTTGGTGGACTTTCGAGAATGGTCAATTAGAAGGAACCTTGATAACAGTTACGAATATAAAACTTGTTGCGTATTTTATGACGTATATAAAAAATGTTATCTAAGCTGTGATCCTTATGGAACCGAAATCTATTGCTTAAAATTTGCACAGACCCAACATGAAGTTGATCACACCCGATAATTATTTTTTAACACAAAAAGAACCAAAAGAACAAACATGTAAGACAAAAACATGTTGTTGTTGTTTTCAAAAAAAAAAAAAAAAGCGCTTGTCTCGTGTGTTGCCTGACGTACTTTTATATATTTTTAAATTTTTTGTATTACTCCTGGTGACAGGCGCGTCCGTTTCTTTGGTCGATGTTATGATTAGGCATGGATGTAGGAAGCTTCTGGAGGCGACATGACGCCACCAGAGGGAGACTTCCGGTTCGTAGGGACACGCCCACAATAGTGACTAAAACTGAGCAAAATGAATTTGGGGGTTTTACGTGCCAAACCTACGACGGGCGTCTGGCACGCCCCAGCGGAGGACTGAGGATTAATTTCGACCACCTGGGGATCTTTTGACGTGCAACCGAAAGCTCGGTTACACGGCGCCTTCTCCGCAATAAGCCTCCGTCATATTGCGGGCACCTCGGTCGGGATTCGAACCCGTCACCTGGGGATCCGTAGGCCGGCGCTCTCGCCTCGGAGCCACCGAGGCGGCTTGAGCAAAATGAAAAGACGCTATTGGACGGTAAGGACAGCTGATTTGACGCCAACAGCTGCTTTGGACACTCTTGGGGGCGTTCCCCTCGACCGCGACCTTTATTTCCGGCTTTACTTGGGATTGTCTCGTTTCCTACGTCGAATCTCGAGGTCCGACTGGTTTGGCGGACCTTCGACCTCATTGAAAAGTTCGACGAAGTTCGACTTAGAGACAGTGCTGCCCGGCTTCTGCATACAATTTCGAGTTTTGGGGAAGAAATTAGAGTTGTGTATTTCGTATTGTACAAAATAATTACCAATGTTTACAGGATATAAAAGCGGAAATTTGTACACATCGCGATACTGTTAGCGCGAACACGACATCGGCGCATTTTCGCGTTTTACTTCTAAATAGTATTAGCGAGCACAACATCTTACCGCTTACATTATAGAACTAAATGAGCTCTTTCCGTAGCAATAATAACTTGGATGACATCCCTTGGTTCAACGAGAAAAAACTGGAAAAACCGGCCGTCGCTTGTTCGCGCTAACAGTGTCGCGCTTTGTACTTTTAATAGTTTCGTTAGTTAGTAACGCGAACCAGTGAATTAATACATCCAACAAATATTGCAGTTGCCCTCCGCCAGGTGGTTTTAGCTCGTTTTCAATTTTCGCGCATGCGCACAAAAGTTAAACTTCACTCAAATTTTTGTCCAACTCCTTGGAAGATCAAAAAAGTTAAAGCTGGTCGAACTCGAACCTCGGCAAGTTCTCGACATCACTTGTTGCGATGTTTGAAGTCACAACTAGAGCTACTGAACACGTTATGCTGAGAGTACGGGCACTCCATTCCCTGTCGCTTATGTGGGCACCGACATTTTAGTGCTTAGTGCAGAGCGGGTAGAATTGGTGGTCGTTGTGATCAGGCCTGAGCTTCTAGTATCAGGAAGCTCAGGCGATGTCCTTTTGCTCTTCCACAGACTATTTTAACGTTCCTGTAGGACGGAAAAGTGTTTACTGCAATTTCAGGTCAATCTTAAAATGACCGGCAGCAATCATTTAAGCACCAAGATGGCTAAACTGTCGTTACTCTGAAGTGTTGCTTACTATACTGACTCTAATCAGAATGTAGCAGTATGTAAGATCTCAGCGCAGTTTATTTTCGAAAATCGCTTACCATGGTCACCCCAGTCTTCGTTCCATGAGTTGGCGAGGAGCCAGTAGGGATTGTTATCCTCCGAGCCCCATCCGAGGATTCGAATTGCATGACGGCCGATGATGTCCCTACTGTGGTGTTGGTACACTCCTGAACAAGCGAGGCACCATTTCATGAACGCCGGCTCGGGTCTCAAGACCTATAGTAGGCCTGTTTGGCTTGGTCAGCGAGCGCCCTAGCGTCCACGAGACGCGACCACAAAACAGGCGCCTCTCCTCGAAATGCGACCACTTAATAGGGAAGGATGTTTTTGCCGTCCCGCAACGATCTCCGCAACCCACTACGATACCTGAAACTCTACAGCCAAGACCATCGGCGCAGTGGCGGTTTTTTCTTTGCGGAGGGCTTAGCGGAATGAGAAACGCGGTCTACGAAAACTCCGTAATGCTGACGTAAAGCGGCGTCCTAGCGACCCATGGTTCATGTACGATCCGCCGACGCATACCAGCGTCTCTCGACGTCCCTCAGCGTCTGTTCACGGGCGTGTTGAAAGGACGCAACGCGAGGCACAGCGGTATCGGGGCTTGAAAATACCAGATTTCGCTCGCCAGGTGTACGTCTTAAAACCTGAGAGCTTCAAGTTTATAGTCACTGACATGGTGTTGGAACGCCAGGGCGCCAGGGCCTTCAGCACGCGCTCGTTGAATTCTGCCCAGCCTCCTATATACTGACAAAGCCTTGCATATCGCCACGAGAAGCGGCTGCCGAAATGGAAAAGGTGGAGCGGCACACGACGGATGAGAGGAGAGCCACGTGACTGGCGCCCCGCTGCGGCGAGGAGCTGAAACACACTTCTCCCGAGCGAACAAGTGTGTTTTTGGTCCTCGCCGTTGCAAAAGCTGTGCGCTGACGTCCAGGTTCTCCGAGAAATGGCTCTTTGATTCTCTGTGCTACCAGATCCTCGCGTTCCAAATCTGCGACCGGTCACTCTGTGGCTATGTCGTCAAACTGCTAGGTTTAGTAAGTATAGAGGAGGCTATGCTTCCGCCATGCTTTGACAGCGAGTGCACTATCGAGTCTTACGAGACGTCGAAGCGTTATCGAAGGGAGAAAGCTCGCGGAGGCGGGACAACTAAAGCTCCTCCCTGTCGTTCTCGCCATTTCAGTCACTATAGACTGGTCGCTAGGCGATTCCTTTGAATGTAACAATTAGGAGTATTTACCAAATATTTTGTCGAACCTCGAGAATCGAATCGTTCGCCGAACCTTCCAACTTTTGACAAAATTTGACAAAATTTGACAAATGTCGACTTCTTAAACAGCGTTGCCCGACTTCCATAAAAATATATGAGTGAAAAAAAAAGAATTTTTTTTTCATGTTTGAGAATAATAACTTATGTTTTCACATAATACGAATGCAACCGTGCGTGTTTCTATTATTTACAGAATTAAAAAAAAAAAAAAAAAACTTAGGCAACTCTTTTACGCCAAGTGGTGCCCACTCGTTTATTATTATTATTTTTTTTTTTGCGTGCATGCACGTAATATATAGATCCCAGTTGAAGTTAAAAAAAAAATGTTTTAGAAATTTGATAAACTGGAACCTTGGTCGAACTCAATCGTCGGCAGGTTTGCGACGTTCTTAGTACAATTACGATAGTTACCGACACATTCCGAATTTGTGCAGACGAATTAAGATATTTTTATTACCGCTTTTGTAGCTCAGGAAGTCGGCGTAAGCTGTGAACTCGGCTTCCACAGGTCCGTTTCTGAAAATTTCAGTGCGGATTTGTTTTTCGGAACCGTTTATTGAGTAGACGTTTTTGGCTGGAACAATGCAGAAGAAATACAAGAACATAGTTATAATAAGGTTGTTTGAAATAACGAGGCTACTGGGAGGGGGGGGGGGGTCTAAATTGGGCCGCAAAAATCAGCGCCTGCCCGTAACAATATAAAATTTTTGTCAAAGGTATATTTCACAGGTAAGTTTTAACCTTTAAATTTACAAATTGTAATAAAATTACCAGCTTACAAAACTTCTTTGAATATAATATATATATTTTTTGTTTATTTGCGTGAATTTGAATTTTGAGTCGCGGCGCCAGCGCGAAGCCGCGGCCTCTACGGCTTGACGTGTCGAGCTTTGGTGGCACCGATTCACCCTGTAGATGAGCAGCCACCGCAGAACACTGACAACGTGGGGTCTCGAACCTTACGTAGTGGGGATACGTGACTTGAACGCTTGTATACTACGGTGCCTGAAGCGCGCCTCCGACTGGCTTTGTTTATACAGCGCGTCCTCAAGAGTGGTCCCTCGCATTGCGACTGATGACGACATAAATGTGTCACTCCATTTTCTGTCGTAATCCTGGCGGTGAGAAAGCAGCGAAGGTGGAGACAGCAGACGCTGTGCCGCTGGAGGTCGTTCTCTAGCCAGACAGTCGTCGGAAACAAAAACCGACTCGAGATGGGACGCGTCGACGACAGGGACCCTTCCGTCCGCGCTCGCCCCTTTCGTGAGCCTTTTTACAACTAAACCGCCACGACTGGGACATCCGACAGCGTGACACGCCGGCTCCTGCTTTGCAGTGTTGCCAGTTCGGATCCACTTTCGATACTTAGGCGGGATAGTACGGTCAACACACCAGAATAAGACGCTTTCTAGGCACCATCCCTGTACAATACCCGTTTAGATATAAACTGGCTGGGGATTGAGTGAATACCAACTATAGAAGACAAGAGCAGCGCCTCTTCCCCCCAGATGTCACCCTCATACCCCCTTTTCATCTTACATTGAAGCGCAGTGGAGGCTACGACCAACACCAGCCAATTCAGCTCTGTGTATACGTATCACGTGACAGCTGTGCGCAAGTTCGTCTGCTTCTTGCTCTCCGCATAGGTGCTCTGCGCGTCCCTTTGTTTTTTGTACGTATGACTGTCACACGACATTGGAGGGGTTTGGCAGCGTCCTCCGCGGTCCATCATGTTGCGAAACAAAGCATACTGCATTCACGAAGCACCGATTGGGCTTCAAAATCACCACCAGCCCGTTTTGCAGTGGTAAATCTAGCTGTTATAACTAGCGCGACGTTAGCATGCGGAGTTTCTCGTCAAGCATCGGCGTTTGCCGCTTGGGGTAGGTAAGCGTTTTACCATAATGATGATGTCATGCGTCTTCTATGGGGTTTCGAGTGAATCCAGGAAGACAACCTATGCCTCTCGGAGACACGTTGTGTTTATAGGCGTTTCAAAAGCTCACCGAAGTACTTGTCGTCGTCGTAACTCCTCTCGTAGCCTTCTCTGCACTGCCGCTTACATTTGGGCGTCGGCAAAGTTCCGACGCACTCGGGAAGTGAACCCTGGGAGCTGTGCTCGCACGGAGCAAGAGAGTAGGGCTTGCAGCCGTCGGTGGTGTTGTAGAGCCCACCGCTAACCAGTCCGGCGTCTTTCCAGTACTGCCAGGCTGCCGCTGATACTCCTCCACTGCAACTGAGGGAATCGGTTACTAACTACTGAAAGTACGGCGCGTCTTAGACTGGTCTGTTTGCCGTCCTATTCCGCCCCATCCATCGAATTTGGTCCGGAAGTGCGCAACAAACGATGTTACAGCATTCAGCATAGCGTGTCGGCGGATGTCGCGATCCTGGCGGTTGGTGTTAGAACTTCCCACAGAAAGTACGAGCGACCAACGCGAGTGTCGCTGTCGTCGCGGGGTCCAGGCGTCCCTTCACCAATCTGCCAAAGCTTCCGTAAAGTGGCACGCTGGACAGCGACGTGCAGCAGAACAGGCGTCTGCCACAGCAACCGCCGTTGCTGTGACACCGCCAGGATCGCGACCAGAGACAGCGTCCTACATCTATGGCGTCATCAAGCAAAAATTGAACAAAATCGTTTTTGGACGCTGCAAACGCACCAGTCGGAGACGCGTTCCCGGCACCATAACAAAGCGGCCATTGTTTCGAAATGCATACATTAATTGAATCAACCGTAAACGCGAAAGCGCTTACATGTCTCGCGTATCAAATTGCGAGAGCGATTTAAAAGCTTTCATGTATGGACGTCAACATACAAATTGGCACAAAAAGAAATTTTCGATTCCATCTTAGGCAAAGAAGGCTACTAATACGCACTATTTAATGTACACATCGACGGCCCAACATGGCTCGTTACGTGTTAAACGGCTTTCGCAGCGCCGGTGCTGAGGCAAGAAACGTGAGGCTAGTTATTTTTGTATTGAACAATTCAATGGAGGAGTCTCGTCGATTCATGTGTCCAGTACATTGTATGGACCGACCTATCGAGTTCTGAGGGGTTGGGCGAGCGTTTTTGTTACTATTGGTGTCAAGAAATAGTTATGAATTGTTGCGTCCTCACCCAGACCCGCATTTATCGCAGCAATCCATCAAATCTTCTGCGGATATGTCGACCTGTACGCGTCCGTTGCTGTGAATGCAAACTCGATCGGACATGGCTTCCACTGCACCAAAAGCCTGCGAGAAGATGGCAAGAAGAGACGCTGTGTAATCGCCAGTTTCATCGCTCTGCTCTCTTCATAAAGCACAGAATGTAACTGAAAAGTATGCTCTAAATTTTACTGCCCTGTACGCGTGACACTGTAGCGGGAGGTATAACCAACCTTGGCCAAGGCATCTCTCACGCTGTCCTTGCAAGCAGAGCGATGCTGATGGACATTCATTACGCGACATTGGACCCAAATATTACACTTTATTTCTGATGTATTACTCCCTAATATTTAACAAGCTTACTTTTACTCGTTAGTTTGTTTGGGTACTTTTTCGTACTTTTTCTGTACGAAGTTATTACATTTGGTTCCAAAATTATAGTAATGAAAAAAGAAGAAAAAAAAAAAAAAAGAAAGAGCACCCGACTTAATTTCTTAGTCCTGAACTCCGAACAAAATGTATGTGAGTACTTTCGTGGGGAATACAAAATCCCTATGAACAAAAGTAAAAGTCAAGCGAACGGAGAAGCTCGGAATACGACTATATCAAAACAATGTGATGTGCGCAAGGTCGGTGAGCATGACGTTTTACTCGATTACTGCCACTACGCACATAGCAATCTGTTTTTGTTTTAGCATGGCTTACCGTCATGCCTCACTCCACAGCAGTGCTACCGCCACGGCGTGATGATGTCGAAAGACATGAGTTGTTGTAGAAAGAGCAAGTTCGTACCCAAGAGAACCTTTTCAATACTCAGTGCCATCTGGCGGCTCAAAAAGCAGTTTCACTGTTGCCAAACCAATGGCGGCCATGTAACTGTAAACTTCATCAGGCACCGTCAGTTTCGCATGCCAACGGCAGCTGAGGCTTGGTTATTCGATCAGCTCATAATTATTTCTTGATTTGTTTCATTTTCGATCTTGTGAAAGTAAGGACTGACCAATAAAAAGTGGCGATCCTTAAGCCCCTCGATTAAATTTCCACCATCAAAAGACCCTTTAGTCGGGCTCGTGACAAGAGACAGAGTGACCCACACTCCGAAATAAAGGCTTACGTAGCCGTTCTCTCTGATTCGCGTGTCGTGTTGTGCTAACATCTAGAACTTATACATGTGCTCCGGTGTTCTGGTAGTACGTATTTTCAACTCCTTCATTCACCAGTCTTACAAAGGCTGCCATTAGCTTGGCAGATTCCATATCCATAGATGATGATGATGGTGATGAACGTTTTCTGCCTTGATTTCCTGGAGGGTCTAAAAGAGGGTCTGCATTGTTGTGGTTCTTACCCAGCAGGAACCGCAGGCTGACTGGTCGCGCACGAGGTCGATTGATTTGCAGTTGGCCCACTTTTGACGGGCGTCGAAGGTGTCGGGGAGACCTTCGGGGATTGCATGGATGCGCTCTGCCAGGCGGGATTCCTTGCTTTCTTCAAGGACTCCCATCAGGCCCCGGATGTAACTCATAGGGATAGATTTGTCGAAATTTCTTCCCGCCTACCAAAGTGAAGTAATTACACATAAAAAGAGATTTTTTAAAAAAAAATTCTGGCGTTGCCGGAATTATGCAATTCTTCACGAATTCATCGTAGGAAACAGCTCGAAAAATAGACAAGGACCATTAAAACTTGTTGGCCTAGTTGGTTCATGATGCAGTCTAGAAGATTTTGCGTGACTCAAGGGACAATCACACGGGAGTAGACATCAACAGGCGCGGGGACAATTGGAGAATCTCTAGTCCCTTGTGATGAACTCTGAGCTTGTCTGTGTCTACTCCCTTGTGATTGTTCCTTGTTTCGCGTAAAAACATCTAGACTGACGAGGACGAAGAAGAAACACACAGGACGAGCGCTGACGATCAACTAAAATATTTTAATAGGAAAATACATGAAAACGACCATTCACCTTTGGCAGGACGTCCCTCAATTGAGTATCACGAGAAAATTCATAGCAGCATGATGGAACGTGTTAAACGCGATAAAAAATGATGTGATGCTAGCCCAAATCCAAAAACGCCACCTCAGTGTCAAGCATCTCGAGATCCTTGGCTGTCGTTGAGTTTCTGAACGACAACAACCAAAAAGGCTGGAAGGCATTCAGCATAGACGTTGAAGACGTGCGCTATTCTACGCCCCACGACGACCTCATGAGGAGCGTACAGGAATGTATTTTGGACTTGAATGGAGGAGATAGCCATCAGATCTCAATGCGATGTAACAATCGAAGATTTTTCTTGATTTACTGTCCTTTTATTTAAAGTCCACTTGTATTGGATGGCAAGACAAAGTTTGGATTAAAAAATCTGGAGCGTGCCTAGGGTCGAGAGTGGCCCCTGTACTGAGTAGTATTTTTGTCTTGCAAAAGTGAATCGAGCACTTAAAAACAAGACTTACTGGAAGACTTTTTAGTTACGTGGATGATTATCTTGTATTCGTAGAAAAACCCGATTTCAGCCAGACACTCCAGAACGTGCTAAATACCTTCACTGAACAGGATTCGGACTAAAATTGACGTTCGAAACCCCCAAAAGACACCAGATTCAGTTTCTGGATCTCATTATCGATGTCAAGCAAGAGCAGTATGTTGGTCACCACCCCAAAACCGCTAGGTCTTTGCTCAATTTTCGGTCCGCCCATTCAAAGCTGTTAAAAAACGGTATGGCTTTATTATGTGTTCAGAATGCGCTATCAAAATCACGCGAGCACAAAATGAAGGCGAACGTTTTAGACCAAATGGCTAGGTTCCGAGAAGCAAGTTTTCCAGTTCCGGTGATTACCGCAGCCTGCGAAAAAGTAAAGAAGAGTATCAAAGCCAATGCAGCAACAAACTGCGCTGAGCTGGAAGGGAATAAAAAAAAAAACAAGATGGCTTTTATCTCTTACGTTCACCTCGTTTCACGCGGGTTAAATGGAATCGCGGCAAGATACGGTGTGAGTGTCGTTCTTTCGACGAAAAACAGGCTGAGCCAGATTTGCCCCGCCATAGAAAGGCGTGTTAGTAAGCTGGAAAATCCAAGTAGTCATGGGTACACCGTAAAGCATGGCACACTGTTCGTATCATTCACCGTTGGAGCAGTGTATAGGAGACCTTTCTCATGCAGGCGGGTGTATATTGTTCAAACGGGGCGCTGTTTGAACATCCGTTTAAGAGAGCACCCGAGTTCATTGAAGGGGTGTGAATCATACTTGGGTAGTAATTCAATTACAGTAATTGAATTACTGTAATTTAATTACTTCTCCTGGTAATTTGTAATTGTAATAATTACTTTTGGCTAAAGGAATTGTAATTGTAATTTAATTACTTTCTAGCTTCAGTAATTGCTAAATTTCAGGCACAATTACAATTACTTTTGCAAGATTTTGTGGCGGCGGCGCTTTTCCCCCCTGGCTACGGAGACGACAGCACAGCCAAAGCGACAGGGGATAGAGTGTCTCCCAACCTGCTCAAAAAAGAAAAAAGAGGGATGGGAAAGGGAGGCTGGTATAGAACGGAATGAAGGATTTTGTAGACTGTAAAACTATTTAATGAAGAATTTGAAAAATAATTTTATAAATGAGGGCTACATTCGCGTCCGTTTTCGTTTCTCTCGTAGTTGAATCTGACTCTTCGTCTCGTTCGCTTCCTGTTGCTCCTGTTTCTAGGGGTCTTTCTTATTTCTCATTCCCACACGGGGGGATCATGGGTCGAAGTCGAGCTGGCTCCGATCACATCATCCGGTCGAGGCGGGGAGGTTCGAGGTTCTCCTTACACGTCTTCGCCGCTAGCATATTCGCTTACATATTTCAGTCAACTTTGGGGACTTTTTTGTTCATGAAATTATTCTCTTTTCTTTATGAGTTTTTTCACGTCCTTCTCCTCTATCTCGTATGTTGGTACCACTAACAGTAAGTCGTGCTACTCTAACATCGAGGCGAAGAAGCAAAGAAGCAGCAGGTCTCATTAATTAACACGACTCACCCTGCCTTACTTCCAACTGTTGTTGCTACACTGCTCTTCCTTCTCCCAATCCTCGTCTATCTTTTTGCATAAATCTTCATTATTTAGTGTTCGCTCTACCTAACCCTTTCAACCGTTTGTCAGCCCGATTGGACGAGATTCCAAAACTTACAAACCACGGCTTTAGACTGTAGGGAGCTTGTTTTTACATTTGTTGTTCGGTGAAGGCTTCTTTTTTTTCTTTTTTTTTTTATAGAGGGCTTGGCTTGCACTTTGTTTTTACACCTCTATCGTGACCCTCCACGCGTTCTCCTCTCGTCCTGGCCTGTGGAACCGTCCCGAGGCGCGCAGTGCTGTTTTGCATTGAGAACCTGCAACAGTCTTATCTACAATGGAAAAGGAAAGGCTGCCGGGGCCTTGTTCCGAAAAATTCTTTAAACAGATTAGCAGCAATGTAAAAATGTAATCGTGAGGTGCAAACTCTCCGCACCGTCTCTGAAAACAAATTCAACAAACCGAAACGCGACCTCCAATTTGCGAAAACATTTGCAGGTAGGCAACTTTTTTGTCACTTTCAAGAATATACAGTTATAAAAAAAAATAATAATGGCTCGTCTATATCTTCCAGCTGAAACACGCTCAAGTAAATCATGAAATCGAGGCGTCCAAGAGGCCGCAGTTTTGCAATATTTCGCGGATTCTAATTTTTGCGACGCGGTGGGGTCGCAATATAGATTCCAATGTGTTTACATTTTACCGGAATTACTCGCGAAACTTATTTTTCGCGAATTGTAGGCGATTCGCGAAATCGAAAATAAAGTCGTTTGCAGTGTATCATGAATTTTTCTAGGTTGTTCTTGCCATGCTAAATTTAAATCGGTCTTCTTTATGAGACGCATAACATCGATACAATCATTGCTACCCTAATGATTAGCTACATGACGATCCTAAATTTATTATCTATATCAGGAGCTTTTTGGGTGTTATCGTGCACTGAATTAACCCACAATCCCTGGCAATAGAGTTGCTGCTATTGTGACACTAGTTTTGTGGAAGCGACCACAAATCGCGTGCTACGGTTACCCTGTTACAAGTCCACAGACAGGGAGAGGCAGCGAATCATCGTGGCTGAAATGTTTTCGTAAGTTGTCGTATTCTTTAAATGTTTGACGTCATCTACGAGTTTCTCTTGTTAGTCATTTTTACGTGAGTTTTATGGTACCAATACTGTCGAATATTTGTTTCCTTGTATTATTTTTAAGCTTATTTTTTTGTTGCTTTGACTTGAATACCATTTGCATAAGCTCTAAGGAGATTCATTTCGCACCTGTGAATTTTGTCGCCATTTATTTTTATTTTTTGAGAATATAAGAACGCAAGAGTTTATTACTCCAAACTATTAAGTTCTATAATCCATTTAACAAATTTCATAAAAGGAAAGTACAATGCGTGACATTTATACACCATTTATACAATACGGCCATATAACTCGTTTGCAGTTATATGGCCCAAGGTGGGTAACTCTCAGAAATAAGTAATTGTAAAGTAATTGCATTACTTTTGAAAAGTAATTTGTAATTGCAATGAACTACTTTCGCGTAGTAGTAATTGTAATTGTAGTTAAACTACTTTGGGAGCTAAGTAATTGTAATTGTAATTAAATTACATTTTGAAAGTAATTTACCCATGTATGGTGTGAATACTCTCATTTTGCGATGCCTTGTCGCGACTGTAAGTGTGAGCCAAGTTGAATGACACCGAAGTTTTGTTCCAGCACAGGGACCAAGTATCTAGAGGAATAGTAGAGGCATACCAAATAAAAAGGGTGGGAGCCTCTTGTGTCAGCCAACCGTCTTTGGCACTGTTGGACAGTGAGGTGGCGTTTTTGGATTTGGGCTAGCATCATATAACTTTTTATCGCGTTTAACACGTTTCATCATGCTGCTATGAATTGCCTTGTGATAGGCAGACGGGTGGCGTACTGCAAAAGATGAATGGTCGTTTTCTTGTGTTTTCCAATTAAAATATTTTAGTTGATATTCAGCGCTAGCCCCGTGTGTTTCTTCTCCGACCTCGTCTGTTTTTCGCGCTGTTTTTTTAAATGAATTCCCACCAACTCGCCTAACTATCTATCGTTCTTCACAAAGAAACGAAAACCTATTTTAAAATATGGTAAAACAATAGTAGCTACAACTTTACGATAACAAGGTCAACTTGGACATTCAAGAAAGAGTATATTGGAAAAAGAAAACTTTTATACGGTGTAAACAGAGAGAAAAAAAGACGCCCACGAAAGACCCAGATAGAATGCTGAATTGCCAGTTGTGATAAGTCAAGTTGCAAGGTCAGGGTGATGTATGAACACTTCTCCCTTTTGTGGTCGTCTTTTTGTTCGCTGTTCCCACCCCTTGAAAGAATGTTCCACCAACGAGCCTAAGCTTTAATTTTACCATCTAAAAAATCAAACTTTTTTTAATATTTCGATATAATTAGCACTTCTTGCATTTGAGAGAGTTGCTACGATGAATGCTATTTACGCAAACAAATTGCCCTGCGTAAGGCAAAGTATGAAAGCATTATAAATCTGCGGCCCTGCGTATCATTATATTGGTGTGTTTTTTAATGGGAGGTGCTCGGAGGAAGGCATTACCCTACTAATGAGCGTACCCCAGCACACTAGTTGCTTTCACCAACTTCTTATCTATTTTAGACGTCATCAATGAACCAGGTCAATCAAAATACCGTAAATGCAGGTTATTTAATATAATTTAATCTCCCAAGGAAATGTGGGTGAACGGGTGGATGGATGCATGGTAGCTGTTCTCTTTGCATTGGGTGGTGACTTGCGTAATCAAGTCGAATATTATTTTTAGCACCATATTAAATAATGTATAAGCGAACTTAATCAGCATCTACCCGAACCGATTATTTTAGTTAATCTACCCGATTATTTTAGTCACTATTACTTTTACTATCTTTTATTGAGCTTTACTTATTCAAAACGTCTTGTTTCAAAGTTGTCATCAAATCTCAGGAGGCTGAGAAGTTTAGCCTCTCTGCCTGATGTGCTTGGGTGACCGAGCCGTTTGCATCCCATAATAACATGATCGGGCATTTCAATTTTCTTCCTGCATAAAATGCGCGTTGTATCTATCCCATGGTATTTGACCCTGTACGTCTTAGTTCTCAAAAACCGTGCCCTAGCTTCAAACGATGAGGCATAAAACAGGATGTACACGAGTGCCTCCTGACGACAAACCTTCCAGCTTGTATTCATTTTGTTGATGTATTCCACCATTTCATCAGAGAGCGGATGCATTCTGAACGAGTCAACCTGACTGTCAAAAGCCATCGCCACAGCAATACCGCCGATTAATAATGACTTCAGCATTCCTGCATCGAAAAAAAATTGCAATGCGTTGTATTTGTGTTTAAATCAGTAGAACAAGTGCAGGGGTGTCTTAGCTTCACTACTTGATTTCTGCAACCTTCGCATGTAGGACGAAGTGACTTCCTTCGATTACACCAGTCCCCATGCAAACAAAATTTTGTCACATATAACGCAATATTGTTTTTTATTTGTGTCCCTCTAGACAGGTTTAGTTCAAGTTTTAATTGCTTGTCCAGTGGTGCGGCTGATAAACGTTATTTTGAGACGTCGTTGGAAGTATAACAGCATATCTGTGTTATGATAGATTACTACAAATTTATTTTCAGCGTAGCTAGCAAAGACCAGGTATAAATTTGCAGTAAATTAAAGTTAATTGAAACTGTAGGATGATGTTTTGCTAAAATTGTTGATACATATTCACAATCCTGCTACTTCTACCTAAACGTATGAGTTTGTAATTTAAAGCTCTACGGCACTTTATAAGTATACATTGCGCCCCCCTCACAATAACACGTACCAACTTAGCGAAGTAAAACTCTTTATGAGGTTGCTATGATTAGGAAAATTAGTGGGTAGCGTGTTTTGTTAAGTTACCCTTTGTACACACTGAGAAAGAAAAGCTTCGTACGTTAATAGACGGGAAGTAGTTGTAAGCGAGGTTTTCGGGCATCGAAATTCTACTTTAGCTCTATCAACAAGTTTCAAAACTGGCTAGATACGTAATTGCACAGACACGAGGGCACCCTGTAGTTTAGAATATCTTAATTTCTTGAATTTAATTGCTTTCTGTTTCTGTTGGCGTGCTTATCTATTCATGCGGAACTAAACGCTTCACTATAAATTTAAATTCAAGATTGCTGTCTTAAAAGGAACTCCTAAGGATGCATGAGACAGCAAAAAGCCTACTATAAATACAATGGCATAATTTCCTAGTAAATTTGCTAAAAGAAACAAAATTTAAACCAGCAAGCTAAAGCACGGAAATCGATAGCCCTTCATAAATTACTAGGCGACAAAATAAAACATGGGTAAGTAAGTAGATGCAAAACTGACATCTTTTTGCGAAGTGCAGTTGTACCACTTTTCGGTTGCTAGTTAAGAAATTACAGTTTTTAACAGGCATAAAGAAAAGTGCGTGCTTGATTATTTTAGTGGAATCAAAGGGAACCTTAAAATTTACGTAGTAGTAGTTGTAGTACTAGTGACACAGATACTACACAGGTACTACGAGGGAGCCTACAGCACGTGGCTCTGGATGATGTCGTTTTTAATTCAACAATATGAAAAAAAATATAAAGACGCTGTTCGCGACGGGAATCCAGGGAAGTTAGATTGGAAAGTTCCGGGAATTGGGATATGCTGCTTTATCTAGAATAGCTTTGATGACTAAAGAACACATCTTGGTTTTATAACGACTCTGTTTCACTTCACGAAGGAACGCAGAAGAAGCGACGAGCCGTGGAAGCTAATCCCATGCTGCCTCTGCGTCACATGACCTCTGGGAGGAGGGCAGCCATTCCCTGGGTGTCCTATTCACGTGATACGTTCACAACGCTGGGTTTGCTAGATTTGCTCGTATCATTCGTTGCGGTCCATCGTGTAAGACTGATGAGGGCTGCCTACATTGCACTCGCATAATAATTGAAAACGAGTGTGTTGGTGAATATCCATCTAGACCCATCATACACTCACATGTTGGGTCTAGATTGAATGTTTCTTACGGCCTCAGTTTCCCATCCTGTTGTGTATGGTACAATTGCATTTTTAGAAAAGAAAACGTATTTTTTATATTTTATATTCTATGGTATGAGAAAAAATTTATTGATGGCGGATAAAAATTCTCAGTGTAAGTTATGTTCACGTGAATGTGGGATTAAACTACTGGAACAGCAACGGAGTTCATTGAGTAAGAAGAAGCGTGCCATTATGAGAGAAAAAATAAGTTTACTTATTTGTGTGTCCCGCATTGCGCTTTTCCAAGAAGAGGTGCACCGGAGCTTGTCAAACCAAAAACTGTTGATTTTCGTCTGCCTCCTTTATCTACGCTGTATTGTACGGATATATGTCAACGTTATATAGTGGTTGATTGCAGGAGTTGACTGGTGAGTGTGTGCTTTTGTTGTATTGTCTTCTCGCATCTTGAAACACCAGAGACTCTGCGTACTTTATAGGTTATCGGAAGACAAACAAGTTTTCACTTCGGAATATCGACCTACGATAAAGATAAGATACCTTCTGTGCACTTCCCGAAAAGAAACACGTCAAGTTCAGACAGGACTAGTCAAGCGACATTATTTTTAATAAATTAAAAATATAGCAGCTCTGCGTGTGTGGCCTTCCACAGAATGCAATGTGTGTGCATTTCTCGAAATGATCTAATGACATTTGAATATTGAACGTTTTAACCGTATCACATGTAAAACATGAACTCTGGGTGTTAAGTGTGTATCTGTATTTTGATCATAATTACACTTAGCATGCTCTGAAGTAAATATAAATGAATTTCCTTTGTGAGCATATCTGCCTCCGGTTCGAGAAACTTCAAACTAATTTCAGATTTATAGTCGTGACGCTTAAACTGTAAAATTAGGCTCCATAATACGCAGTTTGTGTTAGTCTTAAATGCCAAGCTTTCTTTGCGCAATCTTTTCTTTCTGTTTAGGAGACAAGCTAACCTTACTTTTGTTAGCGGGGCAATTTTCACCTAAAAACAAGAACAAACTCTGAAAATTAACTTGAAAAATAGCCTACTCTAAGCGTTCACAAATCTAGCCACTACTAATATGGCTTAAAGAAAAGCGTTTTCGTAACTTTGTTATTAAAGACCTTACACAGAAGGAAATTGAGAGTCTGAGACAAGGCCCACAGTGCTGTGGGTTAAAAAAAATTATTAGAGCAGTGCGGTGGACACTTCTTAGAAGCTAAAAAGATTATGGATACAACATAAACCATTATTAAGCTTGCACCTCCCAGCTGTATATATAACACTTTTTAATTTAAGATTACAGAAATAATGGCGTTGAGGCGATGTGCTAAGCGATCATACTTAATTAGTATGATTAATATTAAGATTTACTCAAAAGTATTAATATTAAGCCATCTAGGCTTCATTTAGTTTCTTTGGTGCAGTTAATTGGCATGAAGATCAGTAACCTGAACAAGAAGCAAGTATTTCGGAGACAGGCGTTCTGGATTTTATCTAGTCCAGTTGATGGCTCGTACCGGTTTGATGAAAAAGATTTTAGGAAAGTAAGCCAGGAAAAGTATAACTAATGACAGAAGAACTTTTTGTTGCTGAAATTTAATAAAACAGGAAGATTTGCGGTATTACCTGTTGCCATTTTTGAGGTAAATGCTCAGTAAGCCTTGGGTGTCTTGTTCCAGCCTGCATTGAAATATTCAGAAGCTGATAATGAAGGTTGTTACTGTTACTGAGGAATGCGTGTTCGAGACGGTGTTTTCTTTGTTTTCCTTTTTGTGTCCTTTATACTTCGTTTCAGCCTAAGTCCAGACGCAGCCGACGGTACGAGCTAATTTGACCAATCAAAGAGTGTCAAAAGTGCAAGTCACCAGGCCTTCCCTGTAATGATTGGTCCAGTGATGATAGAGCTGGATACAGAAATATATCGAACACCATGATGGTGTCCTTTTAACGTCGTCTGATTGGTCTCTTGAGCGCGTAACGTTGGGTGCGTCTGGACTTGCGCTGAAACGAAGTATAGTCTACGGGATTCTTTGGTACAATGTAAGATGCTTAACTTAGGCCTAATGCATCGTTTAAAAATATAGCACATTTCTAAATCTTATAAAGGAAGGGCAACAACTTTAAGAACAGAAATTACAGAGAAAATGCAAGCGAGCTGGTGAACTCTCAACATTGTAAAACCCGAGACTTAGAACAAAAAATTGTATTGTCTCTCTTTTTTTTCCTTTTTTTTTTCTAAGTCTCAGGTTTCACAATGTAGCACTCTAAGAAGTTTCTAGTTTTTCGTTCCTGAATATATTTACGTTCGGTAGTGTCTTCCAGCTTTCGAAGTTTGGTAAATTTTTGACGTACGAAACTTGAACGAGGGTTCAGTATCAGGCAGACGTATAGCCTCCACTAAGAGCACGGCAACTTAGAACCTTCGTCGAAATGTAAGACCATGTCCGGTAAGTGCGTGCTCAACCACTGTACTCGTCTAATCAAGGTATAGTGGACACCTACAGGGAACGGAATAACTTAAAATGCAGTTACATATCCTGGTCGATACACACGCTACAGCCGGCGTAATGAGTCCGGATGCATGAGCAAAGATGCGGCGGAAGTGTTCATTTCGCTGTCACATTTCGGTTTTGGATGCGGCTCGTTCATCAACTTGAAAGAATGAACATTAGGACAACACATGCATGCAAATAGGCACAAATGCTTTTACAGGTCCACTCGCACCTCTTTTTAAAAGTAGAATTTACTCCGTAAAATTAAAAATTAAAGAAGCATAATAATGGGAAATCGCTGGACGTTTACTATACAGGGCGATTCAAGGAGACGCCAGGCTCTTTAAATCGACCGCAAAATTCGGTTTCTTAGCCTATCGCTCTACGACTTTGTGCAGCGTTGCCCACAGATGGTGCATTGTTTTGTGAAATTTGCAAAGAGCGAACGTACCTGAGTCGAAAAGATTGTCTGCTAAAGACGCCGGCTGTCGGCGCCGTATGCTCTTTCGTTGGCGGCGTTCGTTGCGCCATCTCTTGTTTCCCACGCGAAACGGCGCCGCTGCGTTTCCATATGAGCGACGCCTTTTTCTTTCTTTACTTTTTCCTCAGGTAAGTTCGCTCTTTGCAAATTTTACAAAAAAAAAAAAAAAAAAAAAAGCACCATCTGTGGGCAACGCTGCACAAAAGTCGTAGCGCGATAGGTTAAGAAACCGAATTTTACGGTCGATTTAAAGGGCCTGGCGTCTCCTTGAATCACCCTGTATTCCAGGGCCATATATTTTTGTCACGCCATAATCGGCATTAGTCTGGCGTAATTCTCGTCAAAATAATTTCGAATTATACCTAAAAAGGTAAAAATGTTATTGATGGACAAATTAATAAACAATGTTAAATCTGGAATTCCTTTTCCATGTCATAAAATAGAAAATGGCATTTGTACCGACAAATTTGCTTTGAGAGAGTTGACTTTACTATATGGATACCAGTGAAGAATATTCCTACAAATATGTTTTGACTATATTGCTTCACCCTTGTATTTACGAAAGTTTACTCCTGTAAATCGGAAAAAAATTCAGACAAAGTGTTTTTGAATTACTTTTGAAAAAGAATTTATTAGGTCTATTCATTCTTGGGGGATACCGGCGTTAATCCGCTCTTCAATTCCACACTCCTCCTGTCCACGGAGAATCTTGAAATAACCTAAAAAAATGGCAAAACAAGGTTATTTGTGTACCATAACATCTTACGTGTGAATACATGTAACAGGTGTTAAAAAAAGTGAAAGCCGTTTACAACTCCCTGTAACGCCGAATTAGAGAGCAGCTCTTGAGGAGGAGTAGGGAAGGGTACAAGGGGAGGGGTCATGTGAGCTCGGAGGGTACGTGACCTCGGGGGTGGGGGGGGGGGGGGGGGGGGGGGCGGTTACGCCGACGCCGCTCAGGCCGGAAACGGCCGCTTAAGAGCTGCGCTCTAAAAGATAATCCACTTGTCACTGCCTCAAATATGCTTTACCATTTTCTCATATAAAATAAAAGAAGAAGAATGTGCTTTGGAGGTCAAATGGCATATGTATTTTTAGATAGAAATTGTTCTGGTTTTTAACGCAAGCATATTTTCAGCTTTCCTTCAAACCCAAGTTGCTTAAGTGAGACCCTCTTGACATACCTCGGCAAACCTCATTCACAAGGGCCTTCACTCACCGTCACTCACCCTTATCTTCACAGGTGAGGTGAGGGTGACTGAGTTTTTAAACCAAGAAAATTCATGAGCGTGAGGGTAAGTAAGGACCGTGAGTGCGTGAGGGGTATGAGTGCGTGAGGGCCGTGAGGGCGTTGAGTGCGTGAGGGGCGTGAGGGCCGTGAGGTTCAGTGAGGGTGAGTGAAGGGCTGAAGGTGAGTGTGACTGTGAGATTGAGGGTGAGTGAGGGGCTGAGGGTTAGTGTATCTGTGAGGGTGAGGGCGAGTGAGGGGCTGAGGGTGAGTGTAGATGGGAGGATAAGGTTGAGTGAGGGACTTAGGTGATTGGGTCTGTGAGGAAAAGTGTGGGCGACTTAAAATGCCTACCTCTGCCTCTAGATAGATATTTTTTTCTTTTTTAGAGCGCAGCTCTTAGGCGCCCGTTTCCGGCTGGAGCGGCGTCGGTGTGACCGCGAGCCCCCCCCCCCCCCCCCCCCCCCCCCCCCCAAGGACCTCGGGAGGACTTCGGGAGGACCTCGGGTTCCTTCGGGAGGACACTGGGAGGACCTGGGGTTCCTTCGAGAGGACCTCGGGTTTCTTCGGTGACCTCGGGGAGGGGGGTCACATGACTCCCCCTGAGGCCACGTGACCTCCCCCCCTCCCCGAGGTCACGTGACCCCCCCTCAGTACCCTTTTCACCTCCTGCTCAAGAGCTGCGCTCTAATTCGGCGTCACAAGGAGTTGTAAACGGCTTTCACTTTTTTTTTTTTCAAATTCATTGATAAAAGGATTAGCTAGCCCCGCCTAAAGTCATGGTGCATTAATACATTGTTCCGCGTCTCAACTTTCTCTCCGAAATACACATAACGCTTTGCAATAGTTAACAAGTGCATAGTAGCGCGTAACAAATATGCAACCAGACATTGTTCGTAAATAAGAACAACTAGAGGTACACTTAAAGGCGAAATGGTCAACTTTAAAACTATTTTGGCCTCAGCATGTCTTTATATCCTGTGTATGTCCACCCGTTGTGCACTGAGGAGTAGACTGCTCCTCCTTATTTAAAGAAGTTAACTGTTAATGATATTAAAAAGCACGCATTGAAAAGAAAACAATTAATTCATTATTTGTCAAAAAAAAACATACCAGAATGTTTCTTAATTATATGGCACTTGTATAAGTTCTTATATTACCCTACATGTTTGCATATGTTTAGTGGACACACGCATAAATCTTTTCCACTGGTGAGGTTACTTACTTAATAATAAAAACAAAAGGACAGAATGGCATATTAACGCTTGTCTGTTTTGTAGTTGTGGTCTTGAGTATCTCACCGTGGTCGCCCCAGTCTTCGTTCCAGGAGTTGGCCACGAGCCAGTAAGGGGTGCCGTTCTCTGTGCCCCATCCAAGGATGCGAATAGCGTGCATTCCCAGCCAGTCACCGCTGTGATGCTGGTACACGCCTGTGCCCGGAAGACGTAGATTTATCACTGCGCTTGCATAATTGAACATCACACAAACGTTTCAGTGAATTAAGGCGTTTTTAAAATTCTCCCAGCACTGGAAAGTAAAAGTCGCAACACATTATCAAAACGTTAAAAGTGTCGGAAAGCAGTTTTTGTTTTCATTTACACCTAGAAGAATCGCAGGAAATACGCGAGCAAAAGCAAAATGTCATAGCTTCTGGTCATTGAAGACCAGTATTAGAAAGAACTTGCGAATGGCAGAGGTGCCGATTATTGCTAATCTGTTGTTATGCTGCGTGCCATTAAACAGGGTGAGACAATTTAGCAACATTAGAGGTTTCTTTTCGTTAACACTTGAACTAAGCTGAGTTAAGGTGTGTGTAAAGGATGCTTTTTTAATTTGTTTTAATGGAGACCCGTACAGTTTGGTTGTGTAAGACAACTCTTTCACTGCTTTGAACCAGTTTTCTAAGATGGCTGGAGATTTGTTTACAAACAGGTCTTCCGGCAGTAAGACATCATTGCTTGCCGTCTGTCTCGCGTTGTTCGAATTTACACATATTAAAATCCAGCAACGTGACTTGGAGTGCTGAACTTGTTTCAGCAAAATATATGAGGAGTGCTTGGCGCGTACTCATTTGCGACGTACTTTTGCAGTGAATAAGTTCACGTTTTTTAAGGCTCGTTCACATACTTGCACTTAAGACCGTGTTCTTTAAAACCCCTTAACACTGTTTGAGATGAGGAACACACTGACGACATCTATCGGGAAGCAATGGAACACTTGGAATTTTCGTATATTTTCTTATTTCTTCGCCATCTTTCTTTCTTAGCTGGAAAACTTTTGAGAATGTTATAAACGATAATTTCTCGAAGATTGTACGTTTAGTTTCAAGAATACCACAAAACCTTCACTCTAGCGAAATTCAGTTGCAGGGTCTGCTCATAGATGGCCCCAGCGTGCCAGCGTGTTTTCTCTTTGTAAGAGGTAGCAAGAACTCGGTCGTAACAAAACGCAAGTGTGTGAACGGGCGGAAGTCGTTCAATCTCGTCGCGTAAAATAATATTATGTAGTTACCAGATTTGTAGCTGAAGAAGTCAGCGTAAACGAAAAAGGTACCCTCCACAGGTCCGTTCTTGAAGATCTCGGTCTGGATTTGCTTCTCGTCCTTAGAAATAGAATAGACCGTCTTGCCTGTAGTGTAAGAAACAATAAATAAAACGTACGTCAAATATGAACTATCTATCATCTAGTTTTAGTCAAAAGTGGGAAATTCTTCCTTTTGGCTTTGTGTATCTGTTTTCAATTTCCTACTTCTTGTCTTCTACAGGTTATCGTATATCTATGATGTCCCCAGTGTTAAGGATGACTTCAATAAGGTTTCTCTTTGTCAAATCGTATGGGCTTTTCTTTTCTTCTCTCTTTTTTTTTATGAGCAATCTATTACAAGTTTAAAAGGTTCAGGGGGACACTTTCATGTCGAATCGCAAAGTAGACAAAGTGCCAACGAGCTGGCGGAAGGAGTTCCGAAATTTAAACTCAAAGCTGGCAACGCCTGCGTCGTCGCCCCTGCGCAAGTGCAGAACCCAAAGTGCGTTTTAAACTGGCACCTGGCAACGACGCTACTGCTTAAAAAGGCAAGGTGTTTGGATACGCAATTCTAAAACTCCCTATTATTCAAGAATCCCGTACGTTAACTTAATGGCATCGGATAGGGAGCATTAGTCTGCCTAGATTTCAGAGTGCTTTCAACTGCAAAGACGTGACGAAAGCCTTGATCGTCTGCAAGCGTCTTCACATTTCCATTCGCTTTTTTCCTCGCCACGCGACAATGCAACGCATGCGCACTCGCGACCCCAGGAGGTGTCAGTCATGGAATTGTAAAATCTCTCCGCAGTTTCAGTTTTTCCCTCTCTTTGATTCAATTCCCTCTGTAATCCACGTGATTGCAAACTCAAGGTACCCTACCGAAGTGCTTGTCCTCCTGATAGTCCTTGCCGTAGCCCTTCCTGCAGAGATGCACGCACTTGGGCGTTGGCACGGTTCCGGTGCAGTTGGGCAGGGAGCTCCTGGTCAGGTGTTCGCAGGGGGCGAGAGAGTAAGGCTTGCAGCCGTCGGAGGTGCCGTAGAGGCCACCACTCACGAGTCCGCTCTTCTTCCAATATTTCCAGGCCGCCGCGGGGTATCCACCTTCGCAACTGGAGAACGAAAACGCTTGGTAAGTTTAGTGACATAAAGATCTCGCTGAAGGCCTACCTGCGAAATACTCATTAGTGGAGTAAAACGTGCCGCCTTTATACTTCGTTTACAATTAAGCTGACGCTGTAGCCAAATCTACGAGCACAAGCCAGCCCGTGTTTCTTCTATGAGCAGTGGCGGAATTAGGGAGGTGGGCGAAGGAGGCTACCGCCCCCCTCCCTTTCTCCGGCGCGACTTCTTTTATTGTAAAGAAGGCATACAAATGCTTCTGCCTTGGTAACACGGCAATTTCTTTTGTCACGTCACGCACGTCCGCGACATTAAAGCTGTCCGTGAGTTTACATCTGTTTTCAGAAGCCTGACTCATAAACCTGCTCTTAACTTTGAGGATTGTCTTTCTGGCGTAAAGATTTCAGGCTGAACATTTGACAGACATCTGTCTGGTTGGGTAAAAACTTAGGAAATAAGGCAATTCCAACCAATCCCTACAAAAGTAGGGGCCCAATATTTTAAAACAGGCTTGGCAATGACTCTTTGAGGAGCAGTACCTTCTTCTATGGTTGTGGTGATGTTTTCACTTTCTTTGTCACGTGGCGTATGTTCATGTGTGCCGGTGGTAAAGCAGCCGGTCATCCAGTGATGTTGCCTGGTGCTATAGGTATGTGCCATGATTCATTAAAAAGTATATGCCAGGGATTACTCTCGACGTCAAGGATGCACGTATTCTTGAAGTTGATTCGATGGTCTTTCTTATCAGAATGTTCCGCAACAGCGCTGCTCTCCTGTTCAAATTTTCGCACGTCGTTTTTGTGTTGGAAAAGCCTTTTGTGGAAATTCTTTCTTTCGCCGATGTATATTGCGGGACAATCAGAGCAAGGAATCTTGTATACGGCTTCCTGTTTCTTTTCTTTAGGGGGACGATATTTTGGCTGTGACATAAGTCGTCTCAGTGTTGACAGAGGCTTGTGGGCTCCCTGAATTCCATATTTTGCCAGCACGCGTGCCAGCGCCTCACTTGTACCCTTTATACTGGGCACGCTGCTGTTGCAGTTTCTTGTTCTCGCTGTTGCGCGCGCAAACGAGTGCGACCTTGTGTGCGAGCAACTCGATGAATAAAGCTGCTGCTTTAGCCGTTGTTCTTGAGTTCTGCAATGACAGTTTTTTCCAAGTTATTTTCAGTCTGGGATAAGGAGATAGTCTTTGCTCTGGACAGGATTGTCAATCATAGGGTTATTACAATAAATGCTAGAGGCTCAGCTGGCGCTAGTGTGCTGTTGCATTTTGAAGCAGACCGCAAGCAGTCAGAAATTGACTTCCGGTAATGCATTTCTATGGGAAAAAGCGAGTGCATTTTCTCTTTGCGCTTGATTATAAGAGCAAACATCACGAATAATTTGTACGTACTAGGCACATTGGAACATTTCTTAGTCCCGCAGACGAAATAATTGGTCAGTTACAGCATTTTTATTTGAAATTCGCGCATGAAAAACGGTGTTAAGACCGCTTCGTACGTGTATTTATGTGCACTGTCGGACACTGTTAGCGCGAACACGGCGTCGACGCTTTCCAGCATTGGGGATATACGTGATAAACGAATGAAGGACATGTGGAAAACCAAGAGAGACGGCAAGAACTACGCAGTAACACTGGATAAGTAACTCATTGTGCTTGCAGACGATCAAAATAAATATAAAGTCCGATTTGCGATAAAAAAGTACTGCTTTATTCTTTCTGCTCATGAATATATGCGAAGATGCTTGTTCTGTGTTGAAATCATCACTCGCACGCTCCAAATCTTTGCAAATAGGGGGAAGCCAGAGGACACGTGCGCGATAAAAACTGCCAAACACAGAAAATAATGAGAAAACACACCTTTCGTACCCCACGTACTTCATTCTTTATGTTTGAACGTTTTTTAACCACTCATAAAGCTACACGACGGGGTCATTTTCATATAGTGAGAAAACAGGCATATTAGTAAGATATATAAGCACCAACGGAATGCTGGCGAACATTGAACACACTCTACATTCCTTTCGACCGTTCTTTTTGCTTAGAATCGTCGCTCGTTTCTACATACCTGCCATGGAACAGAGATTTGGGACTGAAATATAGCGAAGTTTAACATCGTTCAGTGGTAAAGGAAAAATGCCGTAACTAAAGCAATTACACTTTCACAATATTAATAAAGGTACATACTTCCCGGTACAATTGAAATAACAAAAGTTATTCATGTTATTTTCCGGCGACGAGACAAAATTCACGCGCGTTTTCCCATAGGAATGCACAGGAAGACTGGAAAAGTAGACTGCATGCTGTCTGCTTCAATTTGCAAACCGGAAGTCCCGTAGACACTAGCGCCAGCTGAGCCTTTAGCGTTTATTGTACTAACTCTATGGTGTCAATACCATCGACGCTTTGTGACTCGTCGAATGGTTCGAGTCAAACGTGAGGCCACGTCCCGTGTGCGCTCGCTTTCGGTATACAGAAAAATGGACTTCTTCAATTTTTCTTTTTATAAGTAAATCAAGGAAAGACAGATGGTTATTATTCTCATATCCCATGATAAACTGGATGGCAGGCTCGATAAAATTGAGGCGTGCGAGAAAGCCTTTTTATGTGATTTTTTTAGTATGCAGAAGCAGTCATCGAACGCTTACGCATCCATTCTTCTGCATCCTTTCGTCTTCAATAGTTCTAGCGTGAGTGCTCGCACTGCGGAAGAACGTTTCAAAGCCTCAACTCAATTTCTAGTTTTTGCGCTTGTAGCCATGGCAGAAAATTTCTAGAGGAAAATGAGCATAGTGTTTATGAAAGTGGCAGAAGATCATCAACAGCGGACACAAATCGACTCTAAGGTGGTCTCAATAATGAATCCTCGACTTTCACTTAGTTGTTAGATGCCAGGGACTCTGCACGTACAGTATTTCTTAGGATGTCAGCGGATCTAGTTTTTATTTAATTGCTTACCCGGCACCGCAGGTATGGCAGCACTCTATGAGGTCTTCAGCCGATATGTTCACCAGGATTTTTCCTTTGCTGTGAATGCAGACTCGGTCAGATATGGCCTCCGCAGCGCCTAACGCCTGTATGAGATCACCAATAACATTAATATGGGATTCCAAACGAATGTGGCAAAAACTGGTAGGAAGCAATGCAAAAAAGAAAAGAAAATCTAAATAAAGAATTCCCGAAGAAGCTAAGTGTCTTAGCGAATCACCGGCCATCACTCGGAACTACTCAGGAGACTTCTTTTTTTTTTTTTAACATGGTATATTTTTTATAAAGCTCCAGGCAGTGCTCTTGCGAAACAAATACACTATTAGTTTTACTTGAATTTTCCATTGACCTTTCACTAAATAACATCAAACTTAATTTTGGGCGACTCGGTTGAACACTTCTTTTAGGTACGGTGTGAACAATGCGTGTGTCCACAAAATGGTTGCTCACCGACCGTCAAAAACATGAGAACTAGCTTAACTCTATATTTTACACGCATTTATTACCGTCTAAGCAATTATTAAAGAATAACAACTTTCACTTCCGCAATAAGAAATGCACTTAATTTAGTAATTATTTTGTGAGAGTTTTCACAATATCGCTCACCTTCACCATCTTAACGACGCCCTTCTAAGCGCCTGTAGTGATGAAGATTTTGTTACACAGTCTAAGAGTCATCTCCTTAAAGTATGAGCTATGTAGATTGCACAAGCAAGGCGTACCACACTTGAATGTCCAAAACACTCAAATAAACTTTTTTAACACTATTACCACATTTAACTATATTTCACCAAATACCTCGTCAATATTTATTTACAGAGAGGACAGGGTGCTCTTACAAAGATCCAGATGTAAGCGTTTGTTTTTAATATAGGTATGTTTGAATGGTCGCAGAGTTCTTACCCAGCAAGAACCGCAGCTGGACTGGTCGCGGATAAGGTGAATAGAGTCGCAGTGGGACCACTTCTCCCGTGCATCGAAGCTTTCCGGGAGGTCATCTGGGATCTCGTCGTGCACGAACTCTGCCAGGCGGTATTCCTTGCTCTTAGGGTGCACTCCCAGCAGACCCCTGATGTAGCTCATTGAGATGGATTCGTTGAAGTTTCTTCCGGCCTATAAGCGCAAAGAAAATTTAGTGCATTTTTTTGTTTATATTGATGGTGATAATAGAGCTTGTCCACTGAACATCCTTCATGTTTTTGTAAAATAGAAACAACTAAAAGTAGTAAAGGCGTAATTTGTGGTTTGGTGATTTTGTCGTGTTACCTTTAAATCAGTTTTTTAAAGTAAAGTTTGATGTCGCTTGTTTTGAAAAAAAAAAATTAAGAAAGTTTCCGGTAGAAATTGTTGGGGTTCGATGAGGGTTACTCATTTTGAGTGATCAACCATATTTGCATCAAATACTAGTTGTTTGACCGCAATCTGATTCTGTAAAAACACTTTTTTTATATTTTGTATTTGACTCGGAGTCACTGTTACCATTCAGGTGAGTTGGAGCACCACTCGTGTATATCTTTTTTACTATTGCCGTCCACAAAAGTAATTTTTGCCGGATCGTATATTTATTTCATATTAAGATAATGGAACGAAGAAAAAAATTCCGAAAAGAATAGTGCCAAGCAGACCAAAATATCGAGGTATGTAATTGCAATTTATTCACTCGTACGCAGATAGGTATTTTCCAGAAGTAGAACAGCGGCCTTACCAATCCTTAATGCTTACGTTCATCTCCATGAATTAACGTCGGCAAGGATAGAGCCCCACGCAATGTTTTCAGTCGGTGAAATAGAGCGAGAAAATGTATTTCTCGGAATATGGTAAGGGTAGTGTCATGACGTACCTTCCAAGTTGTGTTGATCTTGTTGATGAAGTTGATCATTTGGTCGGAGAGTGGGTGCCACTTCTTAGGATGAATCTCTCGTCCAAAGCAAACAGCGCTCAAAAGTCCCACGACCAGGAGTGATTTCAGCATTTCTGAGGCAAACAGAAAATATTATTCTTAATTTTCCAAAATACGAAGTGTGAAAAAAAAAAAGAAAAGAAAAGTCGACTTTTTATGTGTTGTTTGTATTTCGATCTATAAAACCCGAAAGTCTCAAAGAATCATATTAAGCGCGTTGGAAAAGAGAGGAACACAGGAGATTAATTTAAACTTTTTTGGTGGAAATGAAATGGTGCTTGCACCCTTCAACTTTGTCCTGAAAAGCATGCTTGTTTCATGGTTATAAGGCTCAAATTTAACAGGTGCTTTGGTGGCCCATTGAGATCTTGAGTCACCACCTCTGTAGCCATTTTAAAATTTTGTGCTTTCCTACACGTCGTGAGTAAGCATTTAATAGCATATTTAAGGTTAAAGGGATCCTGAACCGAAATCTGGAATTCACAAAGCACGGCGGCAAAAGCGTGCAACGCCGATGCTACAAACATCAAACCCTCACTCATACAACAATATATCAAACGGATAACCGTATTTCTCAAAAAAAGAAAAAAAAAAGGAGGCGCATTTGACAGATTGTCTTGTTTTTTCGAGAAGGAGAGGAAACGGCCTCGCGTCTTTTCCGCCTCGCCGCCTTGAGGGGTGAAACGTAGGGAAGACGAAACGAGATATTTTGACGTCACGCGCCTCGTCGGCCTCGTTTAATTTCGACGTTTTTTTTTTCTACAAAATATGGCCGTTGATTCGAGGTATAACCTTACGCTTAGTGTTTTAGGAATTTCAGCGTCCCGCCAACAGCTCCCGCATTGTTTTCTGAAATTCGAATTTCGGTTCACCGTCTCTTTAAATACTTTTGCCCCCTTCAGGGAATATTCACAGCCGAAATATTTCATTTGGAATTCTTATTAAAAAAAAAAAAAACTTCTACTATGGTGTTTGATTTTTTTTTTATATTACAAAATCACAGCTTACCTTTATAATTGCAATGCAATTAATTCAAAAAAGGCAAGCGAGCTGGATAAAAACGAAAATATCAATCCATTAAGAGGGGAAGCAAGGGGGACAAAGGACAAACACAAATCTCCAAACACAACCAGGTGAGTGTTGTGCGACCAAACAAATCCGCCTCTTCCTGGTATCAAACCAGGGACCTATTCATTTCCCGTGGAGCACAATACCAACTGAGCTAACCGGGAGATAGACGTCAGTAGAGCAAACGGGTTTTTTGAGCTGTCACCTGTCTAAACCAAGAAGGGTAAACGGCTTGCATTTTATGCCTATGATCATAATGCAATTGATGCAAAGGGGCAAGCAAGCTGGACAAGAATGACAATAATAATCCCTAGAGAATGAGAAGAAGGTGACAAAGGCACAAACACAAATCTCCAAACACAGCTATAACTGATGCGTGACCGAAAAAGTATGCCTAATCCCGGTATCAAACCAGGTACCTCTACATTTCCAAACAATAATAATCACTTCTCCATGGAATATTATCGTCATTCTTGTCCAGCTCTCTTGCCCTTTTGCATTAATTGCATTATATTTATCAACTTAGAATGCAGGCCGTTCATTCTTGGTGGTTTAGATTGTTGGTAGCTGATAAAACCCGTTTTCTCTACTGTTGTCTAACTCCTGGTTGCTCGGTTGATAGAGCGCTCCACTGGAAATAGAGAGGTCCCTGGTTCGATACCAGGACCAGAAGATTTTTTCAGTCGCGCACCAGTCACCTAGTTGTGATTCGAGATTTGTATTTGGCCTTTGTCCCCTTTGTTCCCCTTTTTCAGTTATCATTGTTTTAACAACTTACTTGTTTGTGACCGCTTGCAGGCACCGACAAATTTCACCAAGGCGATTCACGGTTATATATCCCTTATTTGAGCATGAGACAGGTCTGAGTTTGTTATCTAATCTGTGCAAGAGAGACCGATATTAGCCTGAAGAGAACACAATGGACCGGTAGGCGTTAATCGAACGCTGCTAGATAGTGCTCGATGATTTATCTTGTCACATGATGCCTGTTTTTCATATTGCCAATATGATTCAGAGTACATTATCCAGAAGGTGTGTTGAGTGTGCGTCTCAGTGAAATGAGAGTTTCCGACGGAGCAGAATCACCTTGGTGATAAAGCCCAGATTTCTTTTTAAAACCGCACTATTTCGACATATTCTACATTTTTTATCTCAAAACCCTACATTATCCTATTAATTCAAATCTAATGAAAACACATAGTTATCCTCAACGTTATAGACGCTTTAAACACGCTCCAGACTGAGCCGCCACAGATGACCTTCTCTTGTTTTACCGAAATGCCGAACCACTGAAGTGGGCATTGGCTAGCCTGAAAGACACAGTAACACCAAAGCTGGCAATAACCTGTCCTGATGTGGTAATGATATAGTGAAGCGAACGGAACAAGAGGAAACAAAATGTAGAGGTCGTTTATGACGGCGCCCATGCACAACTGCCTGAAAGCGTCTATAGGTACTACATTTCGGTGCTTTCTCAACTATGTCTACTAAGGCACAAACTTCTTTTTTTCGCGATTTAAATTTTTGGAAGGAATATGTTGGCCAATGTTGCGTATTGCACCCGGTGTTGACTGCATTATGAGATTTTTTTTCAGAAATCATTTATTGGCTAAGATTAGATAACGGTTAAAATATATTCCCAAAATTATATGAAGAAATAAAAGCCTTTCCGGGTTACCAAATGCAAAGCTTTGGTACCATCTAACCTGAAGTCGCTTATTAAACACATTACTAAGGGTTCAATTCATTACTTTGTCATTTTATCTTGTGTTTAGTGCATGCTATTACGTAAAAGATAATCATTTCGGGTAGAATTAATACCCTTTCTGATTTTCATAAAACTAAAATTTCTGAAACTAACCTGTAATTTTTTACGTTATCCTTGAATGCAACTTCTAGAATTTTGGTTCAACGTGAAAACGAAAAGGTTTTTAAAGATTTTCTTGCTTCTGATTTAATGCTGATTCTGATTGTTTGGGACTGCTGGGCAATGGCAGATAAAAATAAACACGTGACAAATAAGAAGGTGTAGGGTTGCTGTCTCAAATAGAAACTTAACCGGGGATAGTCACTTGCGACCTCAAAGTGCACATGCCCAGAGACGTGCGTTGGTATTTGTTTTGTGATCCCTCTCAAGCATTACACGTGGGCAAAACTTCTGGGTAAAATTAGGGGCTACCGAGGTGAACCGTATTCATCCGGAGCCCACAGGGTTCGCACCACGTGTAATACTTGGGATTTGATGTGAAAGTCTTACGTCATAAGAATTGTATAATTTATTCGGGCATCGACTATTATATATTTCGTTACTATAAGTCGGTGACCCATGTAAAAGAATGCAGGAACTGAAACGGTCGTTGGGTAAAGCATTGGGTTAGTGGTTTTAGCATAGTTCTTGTAACAATAACGAGATGGTCACAGACAGTGTGCGAACTGACAACTGCTTATTTGAAAAAAAATATTGGCTAAAGTTGTAGAATAAAGTAGCAATAACAAAAAAGGCAACGTAAGAAATCACACTCTACACCTTTGCGAACCTGTCTAACTCACTCATAAATGAGGCTTTTTGTCAAAAAATGGAATTGAGTGTACACTCACGCGCTTGTACTTTCTATCTCGAAATGAAATAGTGTAAACAACCTAATTTTTGCTAGGACCTATATCTCCAAAAGTTTTCGAATGTAAACTATTTGTGAAACATTGAGTGGTTCGTTCCGGTTTGATAGGAAAGGAAGCCAGGTGAAGAATGATTTTGCGCAGAAGAGCTTGTTATTGCTGGAAATTTACGAAACAGGAAGATTTAGGTGAATGTTGTGGTCGGTTTGCATCGCTGCATACCCGACCCGGAGGAATAGCACTGAGCCAACAGTTTCAATAACAAGAAACTACATTTAATGGGACATGGGCGAGACGATTAATATTGTTACCGGCGGCGCCTGAGTCCAGGCAAAGACTGCCTGCGCGCCGCCTCTGATACGCCGTAACGGCCTTTAAAAGATAACTGCAAAGAAAAAAAAAATTTTTTTAAACAACTTAATTTGGACAAGCATGTCAAACAAACATTTTTCCGCGAGAAAAAAAATTTTAAAGCAATATTTTTTTGCGTGAGACTGATTTTAGTTTGCGGCTATTTCGTCCGTTTTAAATCGCGCGCCACAAAGTTGGTGTTCAGTGACGTTTATCACCGATTGGCTGCTATGCTTCTCATTGGCTAAGAGTTTGATTGACAGCTTAGATCTTGGTTGTTAAACCTTTGTTACATGTTGTCATTTTCTTTTGAGCTGCATATTTTTACGTTTAAAGAAGGTGGGATTTGCTAGCTACCAACACGAGTACCGATAGAGTAACCAAAGGGTTGTCTCAACAGCGGTGGCGACCTCAAAGGAGCCGTCAAACCTAGTTGCGCGGTCCCCACATCTCAGCAGCAATAAAGACGACGTTTAGGGCTACATTACCGCGGGTCGGTTCGATTAATTACCTCCGTCGGTGCCAATGATCAACTACCTTGTCTCACTTTATCGAATATAGCGGAAGAGAAGACACTCGTACCAGAGTAAGGACAGAGTCCAAGAACATTCATTATAACACTTCCAAAAGAACTACAATGTCCCCATCTAAATTGCCCCCCGCGCCGGCAAGGTAAGAAAAGGTTTTTTTAAATAATTAAAAGCGCCGAAAAAGACAAGGACAAAGAAGTGGAACGACAAAGAAGTGTCCAGGGTTGGGCAGAAATACTCAAAAATGTATTTGGAAATACAAATACTGGGATACGTTGAAATAGTAGCTAAAATACTGATACTAAGATACATCTGTAAAAATGTATCGCGATACGTATCGGAAATACATTTTAAAAAGAGACAAAAAGTATTTGGAAATACAAATACAGGAATACATTTTAGGGAGGGCAGAAATACAAATGCAGAAATACTGATACTGAAATACATTTTTCAAATTTTTGGATACGCCAATTGAGATGAAGCTTGAAGTTTGAAGTAGTTGTTTTCGATCCCGAAATTACGTTCCCGTAGGCTTGGTACTTTGCCTTGAAGGTAGTGGTTTCGGACAACAAGGAGTCTTCAATGGGCCCAAAAAAACGTTCCAACAATTGCTGACCGCGATCCCTTCCATGACATCCTGTCTGTCTGACGAGGGAATCCTGTCAACATTGATCACATTATGTCACGGCAGAATGAACTAGAATTCTTTATCTGTAGGTGTGGCCTTGAACATGAAACTTTACCACGCTGCTGTATGAAAGGACAATGCGCACTTTCGTTGTAGGCTACCTAGCTGAAGATCGTGCATGCAGTGTCATTTGGAATTTTTGAGAATAGTGGACCACCTGAAGAATCTTGGAATGCATGTCTTGTCTTCTGTTTTACAGTTGAAAAAACGATACGGTAGCGTCCCTGTTCTGAAGGTCCTTACTACCGACCCTCCGCCACCGACGCACGGATTGCAGTCCTCAAGTTTTGCCTAGCAAAACTTGAGGACTGCAATATCAGCTCTTAATCCTCGTGGATTACGAGCTGATATTGCCGGCACAGGTGCGAGCTGTCCAAAAAACGGCGGTCTCGAGACTAGTCGCGGGAGTACGTAGTTTGGGATGGCACAGCGATGCCACTTCTGGCCTCCTCCAGGGTTTCGGATCACCAGAGCAGCGGGTCACGTCCACGTGGGCTGATGACGTACCCTTGAGCCGTGCAGTATTACGGGCGCAGCCGCAAATGCATTCGGATATGTGTTGAAGTTCACAGCATGAGTCTTCCTACTATTTCAAGTCAGTCACAGCCTGGCTCGTGCTGCAGCGGAATGTGACTCAGCTTTGCCGGCAGGGTGTACTCTGTACGCTAAGGCGAGAGAGACGGTTAGCAGCCGGCATTGGATGCCAGGAAACAATGACTCAAGAAATCCCTACCTAAAGACCTGCGGCAGAAGATGCTCTGACTCCACTCCTGTCACGCCACCTGGTTCGAGTTTCCCACTACGCAACACTTCTCAGAAAAGAGAAGAGGACTAATAGAAAAATAGTTTGCAGAATCAAAAGGAACGAATTGGTCAGCATAGTAACAATACCCCAGCATCTCCTTGACTCTGGTGCCCTTAGAAGTAAAAAAAAAAAAAAATGCGTTCGAACTTGTTTCTTTTTTTTTTTTTTTTTTGTTTTGGGGGGGGGGGGGGTATTTCGCAAGAAATGTAACGAAATACACTTCATCTTGATTGTATCGCGATACAAAGGAACATTCAAAATGTATTTCGATACAGGAATACAGATACTGGTGCAAAAAATGTATCGCGATACAGAAATACAGATACGAAATGTATTTCTGAAATACTATCGCGATACATTTGTATCGCGATACTGCCCAACCCTGGAAGTGTCGTTCCACTTCTTTGTCCTTGTCTTTTTCGGCGCTTTTAATTATTTAAACAACCATGAACCAACTGGCTCAACTTTCCACTTTGCTGTAAAAAAAGGTCCTCACCTGCCAGACGCCGGGTTCCGGAGAGCCAAGATCGGGGAAGCATCGGAGAAGTCGCCGACACACGTCCTATCTCTTTCGCGGTCACCTGACGAGTCCCTTTCCCGAAAGCGGGAAAACAAGAGGCGAAAGCCTCCTCACCTGTCAACAGTAATTCGCATCCAAGCGGGGGGACGGAAAGAGGTTCCCCCGGGACAGAGCCTTAGTCGTTCACCCCTAGGATGACAATGCAGTGAAAGCTACGCGCTCGTTGGTTCAGTCACGCGTCTACATTCCGCCACGTAACCACGCTCTCGTTTAGACCCGCGCGGGGAAGTGGTCAGGGGAAGAAAGGAAGGTAGTTAATTGGTCCCGGTGAGCTAGTAGCTCCCACTGCACTGTCAGCTTAGGAATGAACGAAGTATGGTACAGTCGTGATGATGTGGCACCGTGAATCTATCTTGTCTGGAGTTCTTTTACCGTGGCCTTCCGACGATGTCTTCGCACGAAGGCTTTTCTTCATCTCCTTAGCCTCCCGAGCCCACCTCTCTGAGTCTGGCGTGTTCCTCTTAGGAGACGTCGCCCTCACATGGCCTTCGATTATTTCTCTGACTCCCTTTCACGACATTTCACCATGCAAAAAAGAAAAAAATCTATTTTTTTTTAACTTTGCAAAGTCCCTTTTTTTCTTGGATAAAAGTAATTTAAAACAATAATGAGTAATTTTCTAGAAATTACTGCCTGAAAGTAAATCATTGCTTTACTAAAGTACCAGCTTAGAAAAATAATTCATTACCACACAAAGTAATTTAATTACTGTAATTTCATTACTAATGTCATTACTGCCATTTCTGAATAAGATGTATTTGGGTGTTTAGCAAATAAACATGAACATGCGACTGATAAGAACGTTTAAGGGTGTTGTCTCAAATAGAAACTTAAACGATGAGGTTCACTCGCTACCTCCTGGTGGACATGCCCATAGGGGCACGCTGACATGTTTCTGGTAAGACCTCTCAAGCATAAAAAGTGGACAATCATTCTGGGTAAAATTGGAGCAATGGGGCTGAATCGTACTCATCCGGAGCCCACAGGGTTCGCACCACGTGTATTAATTGGGATTTGATGTAAAAGTATTACACCATAAAAATAATAACTTATTCGGGCATCGGCGATCATGTATTTCGTTTCTAACATGCGGTGGCCTAGGTTAAAGAAAGGCAGGTGCTGAACCAGTCGTAGGGTAAAAAGTGGAGCTAGTTGGTTACGCGCATAGACCTGGTATATTAACAAAGCGCAAGGTACAATAACGAGAGGGGGACAGATAATGTGCAGACTGAAAAAGTGTTTATTTGAAAAACAAATATAGGCGAAGTTGTAGATTAAAATAATGAGAAGGATATAAACAAGCCATTAATTTCACCCCCTACAGTTGTGGGAACCTGTCGAACTCCCACTCATCAATGCTATTTCTTCATCAAAAAGCGGAATCGAAGGCACACTCACGTAATTGCATTCCTTATCTCAAAGTCGAGTACTGAAACAACCTAATTTTCGTAAGGACCCAAATTTTCTCAATTTTAAGAATGCAAATAATAGATCCCGCAAATATATCATTATATGGTAACTAATACATAGCAAAACACTCCCAGTCTCAAAATGTTTACCCGCAAATTATTTGTGAAATCCACTCGCCGCCGAATTTGTGAAGTATCGAGCACGAAAAAAATAGTCGTCTACAGTAAGCCTACATAATTTATTTTCTGGTTATCTCTCTACTGTTTTAGTACAATTAACACCTGAAGTGTTATTACGGTGTTACATTTCGGTTTTCTTCTGTGACTTATTGATCAACCCAAATCTACTCAAACCTTTTTCTCACATGCGATATTTCGTTAGTATATTTAATATTAAAAATGTTAAATAATGCGAAATAGCGGGACATCTACTATATTACGGGGCTATAAAATTCCTTCCATCATAATAAGCATAAGTTTGGTAAAAATTTATAAAAATATCAATTGACACATAGGGAAACAGAAAAAAAAAATCATTTGAAGAATCGAGAAATAATATAAAAATCTGAAATTCATTTTTTATGTGTCTTACAAATGGTATTTTTGCCGACACATTTCATTCGAGCGAGTGAGACGTACTATTTGAATAGTGGTAGGAAATGCTGAATAGTGCTAGGAAAAAACGTATATGTTTTCACCACACAGTCTGTCTTATAAAGAATTACTGGATAGGTCCTATAAGACAGAGAAGAGACAACTAAGACAACATCTTTTCGAACTGCTTTCGACAAATAATTTATTAGAGCTATTTGTTCTTGGGGATACCGGCGTTAATGTCCTCTTCAATTCCACACTCGTCCTTCCCTCGAAGGATCTTGAAGTAACCTAGAAACAAATTGCATACCCAATTTTTATGTGCACCAAGACATCCCACGGTTGAATATTTTCAACATTTGCTAGTTGATGTCAAAATATAATTCACGTATTATAAGCTCAGAATGTTTTATTGTTTTTTTATAGTACAAAAAATAGAAGTGGAAGGCATTTTGAATCTCAAGGAGCACATATATATTTTTAAATTGAATGAAAGGAAGTCGAAAATATTAAACGACAGATTGTCTTTAACACTAAATTATGTTTATGTCAATCCAAAATACATTTGTCAGCCTTCCTTTTAACCTCACTTACTTCACTGGGGACCTCTCTTGATAGTTCTTTCTTGTCTGTTTTCTAAAATTCATTAAAAAATGGAAAGACCAGCCCTGCCTAAGATCATGGTCCGTGTTTAAACATTGTTTGCCGTATATGAATTTTCTGTCTGAAGCGCGCAAAATGCTTATGCAATCGTTACAAAGCGCACAGTAGCACGTGACAAATATATAAACTGACAGCGCTCATGAAAAATAAAAAATAAAATAAAAAAGGCTTAAGGAACAATTACAAGCGAAATGGTCACATATTAAAATTATTTTGGCCTCACCGCGTCTTTATATTCTACGCAATCTTTGTAGACTGAGAACTTCACCGCTCCGTGTATAAATCAACTTTCAATGGTCTCAGATACCACATATTGAAAAGATCAAAATTCCATTTATGATTTTTACAATCGACATATACCTATATGAATTATACGTAAACATATATAAGTTCGAATATGTTAATATATGTTTCCATTTGTTCATTGGACTCTTGAATAATCCGTTTAACTAGGGACGTTAGTAGTTTAACAAAACAAAAACAAAAAAACAACAACATTACACTATAGCATAATAACCATGGTCTATTTTGTAATTGTGTTCTGGGGTATCTTACCGTGGTCACCCCAGTCTTCGTTCCAGGAGTTGGCCGCGAGCCAGTAAGGGGTGCCGTCCTCTGTGCCCCATCCGAGGATGCGAATAGCGTGGCCTCCAATGACGTCATCGCTGTGGTGCTGGTACACTCCTGGGAACGGGAGATAGTGATTATCAGGGTGCTTACATAGTAGAACATGACTAGGCAGTATTACTGCCTAAACAAATTTCATGAATTACGTGAGCAAAAGCAAAACGTCGTAACTTCTGCTCATTGACGACAAGTTATGTGAAATTAGAACTCGCAAATAGCATAGGTGCCGTTTACTGGTTAAACCAGGACATTTGTTTCTGGGTGGTTTGTGGTATTATTACTAACCTGTTATTACGCTGCGCACCATTAAGCAGGGCTAGTAACTTAGCAATTATAAGATCGAAATTAGAATACGCCTCATCTATATGGTCCCCATGGCAGTCCTACCTTGCAAAGAATCTAAAATCCGTCCAAAACAGAGCCCTTCGTTTTATTTATAACAACTACTCACCATATACCAGCATATCAGGATTACGCCAATCAGCTAACCTTCATACACTTTCCCTTCGCCGCCGAGTATCATGCCTTTCTCTCCTCCATCGAATTTTTTATCACAATAGCCACCTCAAAGAATCACTGCTATCACCTCCCCATCGTATTTTCCTGCGTCTAGATCACCTATGTAAATTACGTCCAATTCGATCATCAACTGTTTCTCACCAGACTTCCACACTACCATTGGCCATCGAGGATTGGAATTCACTACCTCATAACATCGTTTCTATTAATGATACTACTAAATTTGTTGAAGCCATTACCCTCTCTTCATCTGACCTACCTAGCTAGCTTACAGTGTTTTAATTGTGTTTACTGTTCTATTTGTTTTTGTTCTATTGCCACCCCCTTGTATAATGCCCCACGGGCCCTCAAGGAAAATAAATGATGATAAATGATGATGAATATTCGAGTTCTTTCTTTTTCTTTTTTCGTTGTCACTTGGTTTAGATGGCGCAAAGCTTTGTGCTCGGGACGTTTTTTGTTTGAATCAATGGTAGCCTATTCAGTTTTTTTTTTTTTTTAAATAATATGGCCTCGGTCATTCCGGAAATAAAACGTAATTGCCACCATTATTTGCTGTCTATTTAGCGTTGTTCGAATTTACACATATTAGGGTTCAGCAACGTGAGTTGAAGTACTGAACTTGCCGAAACAAAAAAAAAGTGAAGGAGTTTGACGCACACTCATTTGCTACATACTTTTGCGGTAAATAAGTTTGCGTTTTTTAAGGTTGTGTTACAAACTGCAGACTGCTATGACCGTATGGTTTAAACATACAGTTATTATAATGTACGCTAGAGGCTAAACTGGTGCTAGTGTGCTAATGCGAATTGAAGCACACAGCTACCAGTCGAAAATGGACTTCCGGTAATGCATTTATATGAGAAAAAGTGTTTGCATTGTCTTCCTGCGGTTCATTATAAGAGCAAGTATCGCGAACACTTCGTAGGTACTAGGTAGCTTGTTACATTTCTAAGTCACGCAGAGGAAACAATTAGTGAGCTACGGCGTTTTTCTTTCATATTCTTGTCATTAAACACAGTGCTAAAAAAGCTTCATACATGCACTTATGTGCACTGTCGGACACTGTTAGCGCGAAAACGGCGTCGGCGCGTTTCAACTTGGGGAATACACGATCGAAATGAACGAAGGACATCTGGAAAACCAAGACGTACGGCAAGAATTACGCAGTAACACGGGATCGTTAACTTCCTGTCCATGTAAATGATCAAAATAAACTAAAGGCAATGTAATATAGCCACATTTACAATAAATAAGTACTGTTTTATTGTTTCTGCTCATGAATATGTTCGAAAATGCTTGTTCTGTGATAAAAAAATCACCAGAACGTTAGAAATCTTTGAAGATAGGAAAACGCCAAAGAACAATTGACCGATAAAAGCTGCCCGGCAACAGAAATAATAATAATTAAAAAAAAAACGCCTTCCGTAGCCCACATACTTTACTCTTTACGTTTCGGAAGTGTTTAACCGCTCGTCAAGATGCAGGACCGGTACATTTGGATATATTGACAGTACGACCGTATTTGCAATATATAAGCGTCACCGGAATGCCGGTGAACCTTGACCGCACTATACGTTCCTTTCGGTTGTTATTTTGCTTAGAAGCGTCGCTCTTTTTTACACACCTGCTATGGAACAGAGGTTAGGGCCTGAAATATAGCGAAGATAAACATCGTTCACTGGTAAAGAAAAATACAATAACTAAAGCAATTACACTATTTCAATGATATTGAAGTTACATACTATTCGGTACGTCCAAAATAAGAAAAAAAATGCCTGTTGTTTTCTGGCGAAGAAAGGAGATGCACGCGCGTTTTCCCACAGGAATGCAAAAGAGCATCGGAAAAGTACACTGGGTGCTGTATGCTTTAATTCGCATTCCGGAAGTCGCATAGACGCTAGCTAGCGCCAGTTGAACATCTAGTGCACACAATATAATAACTCTATTGTTAAGATCCTCTCAAAATATTTTACGACATGAGAACAAATCGGCACAATTGATGAGGCAGCCGTGAAACACTTGGCATTTCCGTATATTTTCTTTTTTTATCGCTCTTCATTATTTTTTTCTTGGCTGACAAAACGTTTGACAATGTTGCAAGTGACCATTACTCATAGATGGTACGTACATTTGAATTTTCTTTAAATACCGCAAAACTTTCGCTCAAGTGAAATGCAGTCCCAGGGTCTACTCATAGATGGCGCCAGCGCGCCAGTGTGTCCTCTCGACGTAAGAGATAACAAGAACTTGGTCGTAAAGTGTGAACGGGTTTTTGGTCCTTCACGTTTATCGTGTAAGACATTGTTACGTAATTACCAGATTTGTAGCTCAAGAAGTCGGCCAAAACGATAAAGTCAGCCTCCACAGGTCCGTTCTTGAAGATCTCGGTCTGGATTTGTTTCTCGTCACTCGAAATAGAATACACCTTCTTGCCTGTGCAGTAAACAAATAAATGAGACGTATGTCAGACACGAACAAACATTTCGCAGTAAAAAGTGGGCAACCCCGACATTTGGCGTTGTGCACCTTTCTGTGTTCCTGTACCCGATGTCTTCTACACGTTGTCGTGTATCTATGCTGTCTGCCCTTAGTCTCGGGGGTGATTGTCCGCGCTTTTTTTTATCTTGTTCGTGAGCAATGCACTAGAAACACAGAGTCCAGAAGGACACTTGCAGATTATAGCAAAAAGGACAAGAGTTCAAACGAGCTGGCCTAAGGAGTTGCGCAATTTGAACTGAAAGCTGACAATGCGAGTATGAGGACAACCCCAAAAGTAAACGAGCTTGCTGTCATCGTTTTTTTTCTTACCCATATTTGCTGGAACATTAATTAGGGAGATGCACCATAGAATGTCCAAAAGATTTGCGTGTCGAAAGAAACAGTGTCGTCGCCACTGCACATGCGCCGAACCCACACTGCGTTTTGTATTGTAGCATGGCAATGACGCTATTTCTTGGGATATTCAAAGCTTTTGCATACTCTACTCTAAAACTCTCCATTATTCCAGCATTTCTTACTTCAACTTCATGACTTCATATGAGACATTAGTGTACCTAGATTTCCGCCTTTCCGGCCGCTTTCCTCCTCGTAACACGCATGCGCTCTCGTGACAAATTTTCCCAGGAGGCGTCCGCCATTAGACAGCAAAATACCCTTCATGGTTCGAGTTGCAGCCTCTCTTAACCCTAGGCCCTCTATAAGGCATATGACTGCAAGCAGCGGATTCCCTACCGAAGTGCTTGTCATCCTGGTAGTCCTTGCCGTAGCCCTTCCTGCAGAGATGCACGCACTTGGGCGTGGGCACGGTTCCGGTGCAGTTGGGCAGAGAGCCTTTGGTGTGGTGTTCGCAGGGAGCGAGAGAGTAAGGCTTGCAGCCGTCGTTGGTGCCGTAGAGGCCACCAGTCACGAGTCCGCTCTCCTTCCAGTATTCCCAGGCCGCCGCGGGAGTTCCGCCGTTGCAGCTGAAAAATGAAAATATTAACGCTCAATAAATTCTGTAAAAAAAAAAAAAAAAAAAAAAAAAAAAACTTTTTTACGGACGGCCGCCGATGTACCTCGCAGCCGAGGTAAAATGTGTACTACATTGCATACCCCAACAAAGTGGATAGGTGGAATAGTTGGTTCATAGTATTTAAAACGTAATAGCGCCGAAAGCACACTCAAGGACGTAGACGCCTTGTGTTTGTTCACTTTGTCTTCTTCCTTATTTTACACTCCATTCACTTTTTAAGCTGCGACATCTAGCCAGAGCTACAAGCAGGGAGAATCCCGCGATCCTTGATTTGAGCAGCGGCGGAGTTAGAGGAGAAGAGGGGGGGGGGGGGGGGAGGCAGCTTTGTAAACGTAGTTTGTGGCTTATGTTCAAGCTTCTCGCTTCGGGATCTATTATTTGGAGTTTACAACGGTAACTACCCTAATCTCAATGACGGCAGAGTGATAATCATATGCGCGAGACTCGGCACGTCCTGCCTTTCTCAAGGTGTCGGTGACAATAGTTTGCATCGAATTGCTTACCCAGCACCGCAAGAATCGCAGCAGTCCAGGAGGTCTTCGGCCGAGATGTTTACCTGGATCTTTCCTTTGCTGTGAATGCAGACACGGTCCGACATCGCCTCCGCGGCACCAAAGGCCTATGGGACATCATAAATAACTTTAGGACCGGATTTCTCACAACACAGCGTGGTGACATAGTCTTGCTAGAAGCAATTAAAAAGGATGTATAAAAAAAGAGGGTCCGATGAAGGTATGTTTCTTTAGCAAAAAGCGTCGGCCATCACTCGGGAATTCACAGGACAGTTCTTTCCATATATTATGGTACATTTTTAGAACCTCTTGAGAGTGCTGGTCATAAAAAACTACACAATTTTCTTAGAATTTTCACTTTCACATTGCCCTTCTTTTAGTTCACAAGAAATTTTATTTAGAGCAACTTACTTTATGATTCCCGTGTATGGTGGGAAAATTACGTTTGTGCCCAAAAGGGTTGTTCACACACAGACACGTGCATGAGAGCTATCAACCTTTGCATTTTACAAGCCCTGATGACCTTGTAATATATTTATAGTTCCTGACAACTTTGACTTGAGGAATAAGGGCTGCACTTGATTTAGTACTTATTGTATAAGCTTTTGCCTAATCGCATTGCCGTCATCATTTTAATTTCGCCTTTCCGGGCATCTATAGCGATAAAGGATTTGTGTAATGTTCGAAGAGTCCTTTATGCCTAAGGTCTGTATACCGCACAAGCAGGACATACCAAAAGTGAAGATCCAAAGATTGAAATCAATGTCTTGACAGTGATATCACCGTATTGAGACATATTTTATTGAAATATTGTCAAGATATCAGTGAGGACCGGATGCTCTCACAAAGACCCAGATGTAAGCGTTTCTTTTTTTTTTTGCATTTGTTCAGACTATATTCAGGGCATTCTTACCCAGCAGGAACCGCAGGTGGACTGGTCGCGGATAAGGTGAATTGAGTTGCAGTTGGGCCACTTCTTCCGTGCGTCGAAGCTCTCCGGGAGGTCGTCTGGGATCTCGTTGTGCACGAACTCTGCCAGGCGGTATTCCTTGCTCTTGGGGTGCACTCCCATCAGACCCCTGATGTAGCTCATGGAGATGGATTTGTCGAAGTTCCTTCCTGCCTTTACGTGTGACGATAAGTTATAGAATTTTTTTTGTAGGTTTGGTGACACTTGAGCATGTCCGCCGAACTTCCTATAATTTGTTTTGTAAAATAAAAGCTAACAATTATAACTGCACATTTGGGTATGGTGATTTTTGGCGTTTTTATCTTTTTATCAGGTTTCTTTCTTAAGACAACAATTACGTCCCTTGTTTTTTAACAATAAAGACAATCTCCGGTAGAAAATTTTGAAGGTCTCTCATTTTGAGTTATCAAGCAAATTTACACCAAATACTAGTTGTTTGCACAAAGGGTGACTCTTTAGAAAAAGCTATTTTTTAAATAATTTGTATTGGACGCGTAGTCAAAGTTTCTCTTCTGCTCAGTTCGAGAATCACCCGTAAAGTTATATTTTTCTGCTGCCATACCCAATAGAATTATTTGCCAAAATGTATCTCTCATTTGTATTAGGATACGGGAACGAAGAAATAATTGTTCGTAATAAAAAAATACTTGAAGTGCCGAGCAGACAAAACCTTTAATGAATGTAATTCCAATTCATTATTCGTGCGCAAATACGTATTTTCCAGAAGTAGCCCAGTGACCTTGGATATCTTTAATACTTTTGTTTACCTCCATGAATTAAATTCGCAAGCATAGAGCCCCGCACAATCGTTTGAGTCAATCAAGCAGAGCGAGAAAATATATTTCTTGGAATATGGTAAGGATTGCGTCATGACGTACCTTCCAAGTTGTGTTGATCTTGTTGATGAAGTTGATCATTTGGTCAGAGAGCGGGTGCCACTTCTTAGGATGAATCTCGCGTCCAAAGCAAACAGCGGCCAAAAGGCCTACGACCAGGAGGGACTTCTGCATGTCTGTAGCAAAGAAAAAGTATACTTACTTTTAATTTTTACAAACCACGCAGTCGATTAAAAATAAATTCGACTTTACTTTGTGTTTTTGTGCTTCAAGTTACAGAGCCCGAACGTATAAAAAAAATCTAATTAAGCGCGCTGAAAAGGAGAAAAAACACAGGAGCGCAATTGAAATGTTTTTTTTCCTTTTTTGTGGAAATGAAATAGTCCTTGCACTTTTTAAGTGTTGCCGAGTCGGCGTCGCTTGTTTCATTGTCCTAATGCTCATCTTTAACGAGTTTTCTGGTGACCCATTGAGATCACGAGACACCGCCTCTGTAACCATTGTCAAACCTTTGAGCTTTTGTACATGTCATGAGTAAGCATTTGAGCGTATTTAAGTTAAAGTCTGTTTGCCCTTACAGAAAATATTAGCCACTGTTTTCATTTGGGATTATTATAGAAAAAAGAACACCTATACTATGGTGCTAGATTTTTTTCTATAGTTCAAAATCACAGCTTGCCTGTTTGCGACCGTTTGCAGGAACCGACAACTTTCAACAAGGCGATTGACGGTTATATATTACTTATCTGAGCATGAGACAGGTCTCGGTCTGTTATCTAATCTGTGCAAAAGAAAGAGCCACAGATAATGGTACCGAGAGAACACAATGGATCGGTATGCACTAGTCCATGCGGCTACATTCTGCTCGATGATTTATCTTGTCACATGTTGCCTCTTTTCATTTGCCAATGTGACATGGAATACATATCTAGATCGACTGTTGAGTGTTTTTCGTAATGAACTGAGAGTAATTCCGACGAAAAGGAATCACCACGGTGATAAAGCACAGCTTTCTCTCTGAGACCGCACTATTTCGACATGATCTAAAAATATTTTGCCTCCAAACCCTATCATAATCGTAATATATATATATATATATATATATATATATATATATATATATATATACGTTTTTCTCTAGCTACCTGGTGCGGTACTTTATAAAGTAAAATAAACTGCAAATGTAATATTTTGTTTGTATGGCGGCTATAAAAACTAACTTTTTGGTTTTTGTTAACTCGTCGCCCAGCAATACACGTGACTTACAAAAATACCCTAACTCAAAATTAACTCCTTTGAAATTTTTAGTAGCTACCTGTAAATTCCTTGAATAAAAGAAGATGCAAACGGCGAGTTCTGGCAATATAGCGTCTAGGTCGTATACATCTCTAATGCTTGTTTTTAGTTGTCAAACCGCCTCTCTGCAACAATATTTGACGAAGTTCAGCACGCTGTGCTGCGTGACACAATCAATATATTTTTATGATCTTTATATCACCGTAAAGTTACAATTAAGTTCTTTCTTTTGAGTATAATTTGAATATTTTGCTCTAAACATATAACACGGAACATTTGCCTGAAAAACGAATATTTAGAAAAAACTTGCAAGTTTGAAGTCGATTTTTTAAACCCACCTTTTGTTTCTTTCATTTTTTTATTCACAGTTAGGCAATATAGCAGTCTGTCAGGAGCTACAAACAGAAATTGTTTGTAATACATTGTTTGTCTAGCCGCTATTAGGGCTCGAATCTCGTTCTAGGAGAGTTTTGAACGGGACTTCGCATAGGTGCTGAGCTTAGCAGAATTTTGAACTTTGTAAGGTTTTCTATTTAATGTCTTTACTTACCTCAATATCTGAGCGTAAAAGCCAGTGAAGCAACAATATTTATCCTAACAGTATTTATTTACTTGGCACTGAAGTAATTTTCAAGGTTTGTGAGCTTCGTCCCATGTATTGACGGAGAAGATACGTAACATCTAGACTCCCGTACGGACTTAAGTAAAGAGGGAAAAGTCTAAGTAAACCGGCACGAATCACTGAAAAAAGAAATGGAACCTAAACCGCATGACTAAAGCGTTTGAAACCTTACACGCTACGAAATGCTTGTTATTTTACGAGAGTCCGCATGCGCACAAGATAAACCGTACTTCATAAGCGTCAGGTACTAAATCATACATATGTATATGCTCTAAATATCTGTTTGACATAAGAAAATATGACAATTACATTTCAAGTTCGGTATTTCGAACTCAAAGCCGAAAGCAAAAGGCCCCAGAGGAATTCTCTAACGATCTGCATTCCCCCGAATCGGGAAGAAGTAAGCGCTGTACCCGAATTTGTGGATACGGACTTTTTTAAGTGCACTACTTCAAATTTCATTAATGTTTATAGTTGGATATTTATATAATGCTAACGACAAATAGAAAGCATTACATAGGCCAAAATTCTGCTCAGCAGAGCCCCTATGCGAAGTCCCGTTCAAAACGCTCATAGCCCGAGATTCTAGTCCTAATAGCGGCCATACACAACGATATATTACAATTTTTGTTGCTAGTTCCTGATAGACTTTTTTATTACCTAACTCTATATAAAAAATAAAAGAAATACAAGGTGTTCTTTATTTAGAAAATTGACTCCACACTTGCTAGTTTTCCGAATTATTTGTTATTCAGGCACGTGTTGCACATTATTGTATCCAGCCCAAAATATTCAAATTATACTAAGAACAAAGAGCTTAATTGGAGATTTACGGTGATATAAAAATCATAAAAATATGTTGATTAAGTAACACAGCACAGCTTGCTGATCTTCGTCAAATATCGTCGCAGAAAGGCAGTTTGACAATTAAAAAAAAAAGAAGAAGAAAATTAAGGATCTTATGACCTAGACACTTAATTAGCATAAAAAAGCATATCTCGAAAGTATTCCCGAAAAGTTATATTTATGCAGCATAAAAAGTCGGGAAAAGGAATTGAGTGAAAAATGGCACCCCCGATAAGCTGGAAAAACGTCAGTTTCCGCCATGGTCGCTTCAACGGTCCATAACTTGAGAACAAAATATCGGACGAATCAGGGTTTCGATTAGAAACTTGCTGAAAGTCATCGAAAAACACTAAATCAATAAATTGCAGAACTATAGAAGCACGCGCAGCATTTTCCGGCTTTCTGAAAAACCGCAGAACTTCGACGGGTTTTAGGTTTTGGTTTGCAATCGGAGCGCATCTCGGCACCGACGGCACCGCACCCCTTGGAGAAATAGTGCAACAGCCTGTGCTGCGTTGAGCGGGGGCAGCGCAGCCAGAGGTTGGTTGCACTATTTCTCCAAGGGGCGCGGTGCCGTCGGTGCCGAGATGCGCTCCGATTAGGCGGTGGTTTTTATCACCGCTTAAGTCAACGGTCCATGTCAGAAAGAGAATGTGTGGTATGGAACGTGGTTATATACGCATTTGAGCATTTGACCGCAGCGCCCTCTCGTTCCTAAATGTTGAGGCAATGCATGCAAATTTTAACGCGATTATATACGCATTTTACCGCAGCGCCCTCTCCTGTATAGGCGTTGAGTGGGTACATGCAACGTTTCATCCATGATATCCCCAGCTCTAAGTTATTACCACATCTCAGAGCCCCTTACTCGTCCCGCAGTCGTGGCCGAGTGGTTAAGGCGATGGACTAGAAATCCATTGGGATCTCCCCGCAGAGGTTCGAATCCTGTTGACTGCGCAAACAGTTTTTCTTTTTATGTGAGCACGGACGCCGGACGGACGGACGGACGGACAAAGCTAGACCCCAAGGAACTTTACCCATAAAAGCATGCGAAAGACAGTAAAAATTAAAGCACGGTTCTTATACTAATGATTAGTAAGTATGAGGAGTTAAAAAGGTTGAAGTTGATTGTCAGACATTTTCTACGAGATCTTCAAATCGAAGTTCATCTGGCTGATGTAAAGAATACTACATTTATTAGTCACAGGTAGTTGTTCGAGTTTACTCGCCTTTCCTTTGGTTTGTCCAACTTTCCTGCCAGCTTTAAACGCCTAATTGACGTTGTCCTCGGTGACGCAAAGTACGAGTTTACGACGGCGTACATTGATGACGTAGCTGTTTTATCAAGAACATTCGAGAAGCATCTCGTGCACCTTCGCATCATACTCGAACAAATGCGCCAGGCCGGCAATCTGATTCGTCCAGTTTAGGTTCAATTGGCCTCGCCTGTAATCAAGCTTCTTGGCTTTGTTGTAGATAATGACACGCTGCGCCCTAGTGAAGATAAGTTGAGAGCAATAACGAAGTATCCACCCCCTCATGACGTCAAAAGCCCAGAGAGGTATCTCGGGATAATTGCGTTTTATAGAGATTTCATTCAGCAAAGCGCTGAGATGAAAGAACTTCTGTACCAACAGCTTCGAAAAAAAAAAGAAGCGGTGTTGTGAGAAACAGCAGCAAACCGCATTTGCGTGCCTCTCAAGGCCTAACACTGAAAACGGGTGTCTAAATATGCCCGATTTGAATCCTCCCTTCAGGTTGCAGACCGCCGCAAGCGATAACGGACTAGGAGCAGTTCTTCTGCAGGAATATGATGGCGTTCTTCGTCCCGTAGCTTTCACCAGTCATACGTTATCCGGCTCGAAGGGAAACTACTCAACCGAAAAAGAGTGTATGGCAATTATTTCCGCACTTAAGAAGTTTGACATATACCTTGACTGCGCCTCGTTTTGAGTTTAAACTGAACACATGGCTCTCTCGTGGCTCAAGTGGTTTTGAAAAGCCAGCAGGACGACTCGCTCGATAGGCCCTTTTGCTCCAGCGGTGCATGTACACAATCGAGTACAAGCGTGGAGTGGCTAACTACGTTGCAGATGCGTTGTCCCGTGCTCCACTTCTCGGGCAGGAAATGCAGATGGGTCCCGGCTTGGTGGCAGTGGCTAATGCAGCGCCCAACACACTAGCTTCGCGGTGGGGAGCCCTGGTGAGCAGAGGAGCTCCGGGCAGCTCAGCAGGATCCGAAGGACTTTGTCAGAAAGTGATGCACCAGCTGGCAGAAAAAAAACAGAGCCGATGCTGTGAATCCCAGAGACTTATACCTGCTGAGCAGCGACGGCATACTGCTGTGGTACATCCCCCAGGTGGACGATAGGTTTAGGAGCCCGACATTCTAGACTGTAATACCACGTAAACTGCGTAATTAATTTATAAGATATATGCATGATTTCGCCTTGGCAAGTCACAGCAGTGAAAGCGAGTCTTACGAAAAGTTATCCCATATTGCAACGTGGCCAGGCATGAGGCAGGATGTAATGAGGTACACACGTAGGCTGCCCGATTTGTCAGAAAGCGAAACCCCGAGAGGGCCGTCCACCAGGTTTAATGCAGTCGGTCTAAAGCAAGCTGACCTGGGAGTGCGTTGCCGTCGCTGCCGGTGACGTTTTCGGTCCCTTTTCCCGTAGTCCACGCGGAAATCAATATTTCTTAGTAGTGAACGACCACTTCACGAAGAGGGTAGAAATGCTTCCTTTGCGTCAACTGGACTCTAGGAAAATCTAGGACTGTGTTCTCGAGACGTTCGTGCACTTTGGCATTGCCGCACCACTCATTACATCGAACGTTTCCTTTTCTTTTTGACAAGGTGTTTGTGGAAGCGTGTAAGGCGCTAAGAATACGCCACAAGCAGACTTCGCCGCACCATCCACAGGCGAATATCACGAAAAGAGTCAAC